GCACATTTTTTGTTATTTTGGTGAGCGGCTTAGTCGGCGTAAGTATCCCCCTTCCCTAACTTAGCTCCTCCCAGCGGCATAGGTCGTAGTGAGGGAGGGCATAGGTCGTAGTGAGGGAGGAGAGAAGGCGTGGAGTAGGTTTAACACAGCCGAGACCTGTTCTCGCTAATCAGATCAGCTCATCTCCTCACCTTTAATTCCGCCACCGGTGAGGCGTATTACAATTTTCATGGAGTAGTCAAAGAGATCAAAAAGTGTCTGAAGACAGTAATGCCACACAATGGCGACAGAAGGCAGCCCCTCAACAAGTGTCGCTGTAAGCGCTGCAGAGGGTGTCCTTCAAACTGTCTCATATGGGCACAGATGGATTTGGTGTGTGTAATGTTGGACCCACTGGTAAGACAAACAACCTTTTCCACAAATAAAGACACTCACATAAAGTTGCACATATTCAAACCTCACGTGACAAAGGTGGGTTGTGCGCACAGATCACGACATAAATTCCAAAAATGGCATTAAAATCGGAACCATCTGTGCATAATGATGCATCGCGCTCCGTGGCCTCGCTCTTTCTTTCATTGATGTAAGCATATAAAATAAATTTGACTCACGCAACTGAATATTATAATATTCGTATGTAGGCTTAAAGTAAATAACTCATGTGATCACTAAAATAAATCATTCGTTCAGCTGCAGCAGGATGGAGAGAGGACACAGGGACATGTACAGGTCGGGCTGCGTGAAAGATAAGAGGAAAAGGAAGAAAGAAAAGGAGGGAGACGAATTATATGTCCTGTTAACCTTATCATGTGTGTCTATTTACTAGATATTTAATTTAATTTAATGCGGTTTTAGCTGTGTTAATTCAGTCAGGTTAAGTGTCCAAACGTGCTAAATGCGCTCATCAGATCAGATATAGATCAGAATATATCTATATAGATCTAAATGTTTGTGCTGACTCAGATTATTAGTTGTTGTTGATTATTTATTGCACTAAAATGTGCCTGACACTGTGGAAACCTGCCGGTGAGGCATCGGTGACATATGCGCACTACCAAAATACCACTAGACCAGCTGCGCTCCGCCTGTGCTGAAAGCTGACCAGGTTTGAATTGGCTAGGTTTCACCGCACTTTCCACACCGCTGGGGAGCACGAAAATGTCACTGCGCCAGCTGATTCTGTTGACACCTCCCCCTGCCATGCCACCACGCCCAGCTTGGCGGCCCACGGTGGCCTCAGTCCATGAAAATACCAAACTGGCTGTGCAACGGGCTCCGGCAGATGAAAATACCACTGCGTCGGGTCCGCCACTCTCCGCCGCGTCGCTGGCGGGCATGAAAATAGAGCCCTAGTCACTTTAGGGTGAGTGCTGAATATCATCTAAGAGATTCTATCACTCTCAAGGCACTGAAAATCAGGGTAGAATTAACTGAAACAGAGGCAGGGCTCTTATGTACATGGAAAAATTATTGGTTATATCATATGGCCTCTTGAAACACCCCAAAACAGCAACATAATACTTTTACTTTGCCAGAATATTAAGCAATATTGTGCGGTTTGTTTCACTTCATGTCTCAGAATTCAATTCTGAATCCCCTTTTTAGGTTTCTTGTGTATAGATAAATTATAAACAGACAGATGTTGTGTTTAAAGCTATGTTTTGGTATGTGTCAATTGTTTTTAAGATTAGAATATGATTAACCGTCTAAATGTCTGAAAATCAAGACAAAACAGGAAATCATTTTTTGGATGTCCAGTGTTGTGGATCAGAATGTTTGGTTTTTCTGGCTCACTGATCAATTTGAAAGCTGCTTTAATAACATCTTGGCCCACTTAAAATAACATTTATCCAAGAAAAGATTAAATAAACCTTTATTTATCCCACAGTGGCGATATTTGCTGCATTTACAGCAGTGTAAAAAGTAATGAAAATGACCAAATCTTTAAGTTAAATAGTTTATATAAGAAATAAGTTTATATATTTTGCAATGATGATAAATATATAGTTTGTGTGAATTGCACATGGAGATACGATTGTATGCATTTTCTGTTGGGTTGTGTTATGATATTAAGAGCAGGCTTGGACAGTCTGGTATCACTAACATCATATACTGCAGGTGAAGCTTGTGGCTAAACGATCTGTCTAAACTTAAAGAGCTTACTTCTGAAAATACTGTGAAACACAGTCATAACAACAGCAATAACAGAATGAAGAAGGTGCTGCCCTTTATCGGTCCTAGGCTTGAATTAAACTGTTTCAGTCACCTTTATGGGGAGTCTCTTCATAAACACAGAGTCAATGGCTCCTCTTATCTCACTAAATGTGAGTTTAAGTCGTACAGAAACAGATTTGATCTTTAAATGAACCGTTCCTGCCTCACAGGGAGCAGGAAGTTGGGTCAGGCTCTCTTGTCTCAGTGGCTCGATGCTTATTGGATTGAGCGGCCATTCCCACAGCTTCAGCAGGCCAAATGACTGGTGGGATGTGTAGCTCACGGCCACTAAGTGGTCTATCGATCAGTCAGCTGAGCCAGTGGGCTGATGGGATGTGCTGTAGCTGAGCCAAGAGCTGGAAGAGTGTTAATGGGTATAAAATACATTCCTGCACAGATTAGAGAGACTGCCCAAGCTGAAACCAAAGAGGACTCCATCACATACGAGGCAGAAAATCAACTGTGGAGCATTAATCTGCCTAATTTATGCATTTCAATCCTCAGACTCCATCTCCTTTGGGTTAAAGGGTGAGAATTAACTGCTGAGAAAATTGGGGATTTTTAAGATGATGCATATATCTCAAAAAGATATAAAAGCAAGAGAGCTTAATAAAAACTTCACTTCAAACCTTTACAGCATGAAAAGATTTAAAGGTTATCAAGCTGCTCAATCATTCTAGTGTGCTGCTAAGTTTTCTCAATACTCCTGATTAAAAAATTTAAAGGACAGTTCTAGTACATTTACATTTATCACCTTTATAACAATAATGCAACCTTAAAAGACACTGTTATGGAAATTGATGAATGCAGTGATTTTCATGTGTGTATTACAGCTGGAATAACTTCCTCTGCACACATTAATGTAAAGATAAGCAAGTGTTTATGTTGTTATTTAACTAACAGACAGATGAGTGCTGTAATCCATCCCTGCAGCTGGCATTGATGTTAAACTAGAGGATCAGAATGCTGTACAGTAAACACATGCAAATAGAAGTCAAGACACCGCATGTGTATCTGCTTTGCACCCCTGTGTGCCAGTCACAGTGTGCTCTAGTGACCCAGTGCCCAAGATTAAAACCCAGCAAAGCCAGATTTAGTCTCCCTACAAACCAAATCCCAGATTTTAAGAGGCTGGGAGGACTCCTGTAATGCCAAAGTAACACACAACCAGCCAAGTTTACTCACACAGCCACATAAAGCCCTGTAAACACTTGGTCACTTTCAGTGATGAAGTGAGGCACAGCATCCAGGGAGATATAGTAAAATGTACAACAAACACCAACCCCACCTGAAGAGTAATCTCATTAATACTGTGATTCATGAGGCCGTCCATCCAGGTCCAAAGACTTTTGCGAGCAATTCATTTAAATCATACAGTTATGTTTGCAAGAGCAAATATGGAAATTAATTATTAAGACTCTACATCCGAAGGTCTGCAAGTCAGAAATCATGGATAAAGACACAATGACCTATGGGAAAACTGAAATTGGCATAACGATAAGATCTAATTTAAAGGAGGACCTAATCACACTTCAGAAACTTCAAAATTGAACAAGCAAAGATCTGATTAACTAAATGAAGAGGGGAAAGGGAATAATAACGCTAACACCTGCTCTGTTTTATTATGCACCTGTACTGGAGATGTAAGCTAGCTAGTAAACAGCTGCTTACTCCGCCTGCCCCGAGGAACTCCATCTTAAACCAGAGACAAGGAAAACCATGAAAGGGTCCACAAATCACCTGTCACTGCTAACCCTTGATTTCTAAGATGTTGCTGTTGCTAGTCTCAAAGAAGTCTCTGATGTTTGTGCAAAATAAACACCAGAAACTGCTTACCAACTTCCTAACAGAAAATACAACAAAGCAAGTTGTTCAACCCCCAGTCTTATCCCATCTTGATTACTACTCCAACTAAATGTCTTCAGTAATGATACACACAGTCATGACACAAGACAAGCCCTTTTGGAGCCTTTCATATTACCATTGCCCAAATCTGATGCTTTAAATAGGATTGTCATGTACAGCCGTTTTAAATAAGGAAATAACCTTTTTAAATGTAACAGCTGGTAAATGATTTAATGAATCAGACACATATTTAATAAGCAGTTATGAAAACTAGAGTTATGATACTATAAACAAATGTTTTAACCATATCTGCTTCCAGACTGAAATATTTCAGCTCTTGGTTTGTTGACCGTTCTATTTGATTGTATCTTACTGTATCATGTTACTATTTGTATATTTGTTTGATTATGTTTGGTGGACCCCAGGAAGAATAGTTGTTACTGCTATAACTACTAAAGGGGATCCGATGTAATTAAAATAAATAAAAATATTAGTGTTTTCTTCCCTCATGCAAGTATGACATAAAGGAAGGTACTTAAATCAGATATTGGGCTTCCAACTCTGAAATATTTGCATGTTCTGTTCTGTGTTGTGTTTTTGTTTATTAAAGCCATAGACATTTGGGAGCACAATGACCATGAAATTACATCAGGCTTGTTGCAGCAGTTATTTAAAGATGGTTGCTAAGAGGTTTTAAGGACCTAACCCAATCAAAAGTATCCAGCACCTTACACCAGGATCCTTAGATGTGCTTTAAAAAGGACCTTTAGGGTGGATCCTTCGGAGATTAAAACATGACCCTAAAAGTGAATTTTGACCCATTCCCTGAGCTGAATTTGCACTCAGTCCCTCTAAGAAGTTCCTGCAGTGGAAATGTGCAAAAATTCTCAAATGATACACCAGGCTTATTTCAATATATTAATTTATTTTCATTGCATACATAAAAACATTCGTTGCAAGAGATCTTCAGTTCCTCACAAACACCCCTACAGGCAAAGTAGTGCACTGACTCATACATACAAGGACAAATATATGTATCAGGATTCATAAAAGAAGCGGTAATTGGCACATCTGGGAGAGAGGCTTTATCACCGGCTTTGCATGTTTCCTATTTGTCAGACAGACAATGAAAACAGGCACAGAGGGGTTGAAGCACGCCTTCAACAACAAGAGTTCGCACTCTGCTACATTATTGTTCCCTTTTAAAAAACACCCAGAACAGGGATCCAGCCCCTTCAATCATATTATGTCATATATTTAAAAGATAATTGAACTTGTGGTCCCATAAAGAACAATCTCAATTTACCTTTGATTTGACAGTAAAATGAACGGTAAACCTTATACACCTTATAGTGCAATAAGCAACACAAGAAGCATCATTGAAAAAGAATATAGAATGATTTCTTTGAAGCATAAAAAACCGCAAACGTACCTATAAAAAGGATTAAACTGAGCAACAGTGACATCCACTGGTTGTAGACTGCACCACTGAGCTGTCTCTAAAGACCCACTTTTAAAAAAATATCACACCCTCTTTCCTGCTTATATGCATAAATCTCTTTGGTGGCTTTCTCCCAGCTGAAAAAATGTCTGTTGTGATTTTGTCATAAATCAAAGTGAGTTCAAATACATATACATATATAAAAGAACCTGATCCTGCTCAGGAGATGTGCCTGCAGACTCAGAGCTTTAAATCAGTGGGCAGCTTCTTCGTGGATTTTTTTGCCTGCTGGCCTATAATTTCAGTTTTTCTTTTCATCTCCAGGTAAGAAGTAGGGGTTCTCATGGCCCTGAACCAGATAGGAGTATCTGGATGGATTTTTACCCTTGAAGGTCTTCAGTCCCTCTGGGTTGAGATCATACGAGCCCGTCTGAAATATTTGTGGAAGCAAAAATAAAATAAGTGTCATCCAGGAGTAGGATCTCCCACATTTACAGGCAAACATCCCTTTTCAGCCATGCAAACATCACAGGGAAATTACCAATCTAGTCATGACGAACCCCAAACCAACATCCGCTGAGCGTCTTTGAACCGTCAGTCACTCAGAAATGAAAGCACATGCATTTTCACAACCATCAGAGATCTATAAGGATGCTTCCCATCACCCAGAAACTCCTTCCTCTGTGTTTCTCACTCTGGCATATTCAATCATCAGCAGGAGGCAGCAAGGTTAATCAGAATCTAAAAGCAAAGCCAGTCCTTACCTTTTTCCATCTGTTCTGCTTCGGCTGAAACCCCTAAAGCAACACACCGGGAGTCAAGCAGGGAGCATGGGGGGGTCCTACATACTAACATTATATAAGAACTACAGGCTGGCATTATAGTAAGAAACACTGGGTTAAATATTATGGTGTGGAAATGACTGCAAATATATCTAAACAGCCCTTTTTTCTTTATTTAAATGACACAATGATCCCATGTCAAGTGAGCATGGATTTGTTTATTTGCAGGTCAAGAATCAGTCAGTGTGTTGTGTTAAAACTGAGCTACAATTGGTAGAAAAGCACCTGTTTCCGAGATCATTATGGACCACTTATGAAGCTGTTATTAAAGGCTTATGTGGTCAGAAAAACTTTTCTTCTCTCTTATATTTCACCTGCAAGTGACCAAATCCATGCTACCTGGGTTAGTTAGAAGTTAATAAAGCAAATGCAACCTGGATGCAGGATGGTAGGGAAACACTGATCACACTGATTTAGTGGAAAGACATTACGCAAGGATTAGTGGTAAGTAATCCTGAGGTCAGAGAAAACAGAAGGAACTCTCGATGACTCACCAATCCATTGGTTTGATGCTTTTTGTCCCCCAGGGCTCGAGTGTTGCCCCCTTCTGCTAGCTCAATGGAATGAGCTGCATCCCAGTTGGTGGTGGCACGAGGGATGGGGGTGACCCCTGTGGGCCAAGGCTGGTTTAGGTCACCTGAGGAATACGGACTGCTGCTGTGGTTTGCCTTCCTCTTTGAATATTCCCTGCTGTTAGAGAGTGCCGAGGATAAAAGGTGCATGCATGTTTTTCACAATGAATTCATCACACTAACAAATGTTGCCTGTGCATCCAAGACCAGATCAAAATCCTCTTCTGTGAAACATAAATGCTGCCCTAAATAGACTGGTGTTTGTAGGTACCCAGACAGTGTTTAAAAGCATTAAATTATGATTGAATTAGATTATGAAATTTCATTTTCATATTATATATTAGCCATCTAACAGGAGCTTTAGGGGTATACAATATAAGTGCACTTATTTCTGCCCCCTTTTATTCAAGAGTTACAGTACTGTCTTTTTTTTTTAACTTTTTTTGTTTTGTTTTTTTGCTCGATAGATGAATGAAATAAATAAATGTATAAACTCTGTTTCTCACCAGAAGTAGTACACAAGCAAAGCCAGGACCAGGATGAGAAGAATCCCTCCCAGGACACAGGAGATGACCACCACTGCCAGCAGAGCAGCTTTAAAAAACACATGAGGATCAAATCATGTGTTTTATAGGTCAGCGAGTTAATACATTATTACTGCTGCATCATCAAACAAGTCTTACTCACAGTCAGTGCAGTTGAAGCCCGCATATCCAAATGCACACCTAAGAGACAACACAAAATAATACTTGTCTCTCATGGATGAACTCAAGCTACCCCTGTGTGGATTCAGTCAATCCACATGGGGGAGCTACCTTCACACCAAGATACACCGCACATACATGTAAACCAGCACATCAACAAAACCAAAAATAAGAATAAGAAGAACTTTATTTATCCCCGAAGGGAAATGTATACTCACATTTGGCAGGTGTTCCCCACTGCCCTCTGCCCACTTGGACACGCTAAAGAGAGAAACACAATCGTTTACATATGCACAAAAAAGTTTGACAAAGAGACTCAAGCAAGAGCGTAACAAGCAAGAGTTTCAGACTCGGTTACAGTACATGGAGATGTTCAGCACGCCTGGCTGCACAAGCAATGAAAACATGAGCACAATGAGAGCCTCTTATAGAGGCCACATGATGACCATAACAAACAAGGCCATACAAGTACATTATATTTCTCTTTGTAACAGGATTCCTGGGGAAAGGATTGTATGAAAACATGTGCATAAAAGTCTGATTCTCCATAAACTTCACGTACAGCTGATGTCTTTGGTCTCAGCCCTCTGAAGAGAGTGGAATCTGTGATTCTTTCACATGTTTCCAGGGAAACAACCCCGTAAAAAAGAAATACATTTGAGAGATAAATGAGGGAAAGGCCAAGGGTTGGTTTGAAGAAAAGGCTTCAGCTCTTGACCTTGTCTGTGAGTTTCACTCCCTGTTGCTTCTCCCCCTCACTCCTCACTCTCACACACAAGAATGTCACTAAAGCTTTTTTTGTTACAGCTCTCTTTACTGTAAATCAGCCAGGAAAACGTCACATCAGCTCTTACAGGCCACATATGAGGCCTTAGTGATCTGTAGCTCTGAGTTAGGAAGACATGAGGAGTAAGATCATGTTCTGGGCTGCCTCTTGATAAATCAACAGTAGCTGTTACCTCTGCAGCTGGTGTTTGAGTAGATGATGGAGATGTAGCCCTCTTTACAAGAACAAACAGCTCGTCCTTTGGTATATGAGCACATTGTAGAGGCTACTTCACAAGGCAGTGGCTCCTGCTTACACAGGTTTGATCCTAAAACAGAAACAGTATATCAGAAAAGGGTATAAGACAAACCCCTTTTCCAGAAGCAATCAAAGGAGTGGCTGTACTTACTCGTAAATGTAGCATTTGTCAACAATCCACTTGAGCTGGCTATAGCCTCACTGATGGACTCATCCACAGACTCTTGAGTGACGTTGGTGTCCTCAAAGACATTGTTTACAGTAGCTATTACACTTCCTTCTCTGAGGGAGAAGCAAGTAAGAATTGGAAACCAGTTTTTGGAACATTGCGTCTAATCTATCTGCACTCAGAAGTGGAGAAAATACTCACTCAAGTCGCACTATGTCAGATCGTACATATCCAGGCTCGTTTTTGAGGGCATCTCTGAGCTATGAGAGGGAGAGGAAAATTCTACATGACTGACTGATCACATGAACAATGCACATTTATGCTTTATTTTACTCCAAACCTACCGCTGCCGAGATCTCTGCTGCTGTCCTCTGGAACAACTCTGAAGACCTGTTGCTCATTTTGTTATCAAAGTTCAAGTTGGTGAGATGAAGCTGGCCTGGGAACACTTGAGCTGGTGATAAGAAGGGTGATATATAGTAAGGGGTTGAGTCTCACAGCCATTACTCAGATATAAAATAATGAGATTTTCCTACCAGGTTCACATCGGCCATTAAGCAGGTAGCTACCAGAGAGACACTGGCAGGTGCCATTAAGACAGGTGCTTCCAGGAGGACATGGGACAGATGGACACTCTGAGGAGTGAATATGTTATTAAGTTAAGTCTGCAACCGAGAGCAGCAGAAACAAACTGTAGATGTAACCCTGAAATATCACAATACTTCAATTTATTAGATAAGTTGCATTAAAATAGCTCTGGGTGAATGTCAAATCCAAGATCCTCACTGTTTCATAGGGAAATATCTGGCTCTTTAGCTTCTAAATTTCCCATAATGCCTTGCAGCTAGTCACTACCTCTGTCTGCAACATTGCTAACTAGCAACATTTCAAATAACATTCAATATATTGATTGATTGATTGATTGATTGAAGTTTATTTTGAACATATAAGAAAAAACAATAAAAAAGTAAAGAGTAAAACAACAAATGACTAAAAGTTATTCAAGTTCAAGAAGGAGTGGAAAGAAGTCGAGACTTATCTAGTCCCACCCCTTCTCCTACACTAATGGTTTAAATATATACAGTATCATAATATTATATAATAATACTAATCATCATAGTAATAATAGCAATAAAAATAATCACCACAGTGAAAATAACAAAACAACAACAACAAAACAGTGATAATAATGATAATAGTTACTATGATTGTACATCCCTGTATCCCATGAAAACATATTCTTTATATTTTGTTTTAAACTGTTTTATATTTGGACATTGTTTTAACTCCTCACCCATACTATTCCACAGTCTCACCCCATATATCAAAAAAAGATACCAACCTATGACTGGAGCTAAGGTAGGAGTGGGTGTTGTTGCTGTTGTTGGTTTGTCAGTGGTAGCTTCTGTTGGTCTCAGGGTGGTGGCAGTGACAGTGGTGTCAGAACCCGTGGTGGTGATGGGGGCGGGAATAGTGGTGGTGTTTGTGGGAGTTGTGGAAGAGGTTTGTGCGGCCATGGAAGATGTGGAGATAGTGGTATCTGGGATGGTGGTAAAGTTTTCAGTGGCCATGGAGGTTGGGAGAGAAGTGGTGGTTGGAGATGTGGGAGTGACTGGAGTGGTATTGGGGGTTACAGTGGTAGGGGCACTTAAAGTAGTAGTTAAAGTTGGATTGGTGGTGGAAAATTGAGGGTTGGTGGGAACTGGAGTAATGGTGGTGGTAGAAGTCGTAGTGTTAGAAGATGAAGTGGTGGTGGAGACTGTATTGATTGTAGAAGATGAAATGGTGGTGGAGACTGTATCGGTTGTAGAGGATGAGGGGGTGGTGGGAACTGGAGTAGTTGTAGAAGATGAAGTGGTGGTGGAGACTGGAGTTGTTGTAGAAGATGAAGGGGTGGTGGGGACTGGAGTGGTTGTAGAAGATGAAGGGGTGGTGGGGACTGGAGTGGTTGTAGAAGATGAAGGGGTGGTGGGGACTGGAGTGGTTGTAGAAGATGAAGAGGTGGTGGGGACTGGAGTGGTTGTAGAAGATGAAGGGGTGGTAGGGAGTGGGCTGCCAGAAGAGTTGGTGGAGGTTTGATTGGGGGTTTCGACTGGAATAGCTGTTAAGATAGAACTTGTGATGGAGACTGGAGTGGTGGTGAATCGAGGGGTGGTGGAGGTAAGAGGGGGGGTAGAAGACAAGGCCGGTTTAGTTTGTTGAGTTGGAGAGGTAGTTTCTGCAGTGTTTCCAGTCACTGTAAAAACAGGTTACAGGTTAGATTAAATTATGGAGACAGTCAACAAAGGGCACAGCTAACATCATTTCTTAAAAGCACCAAAATGACAACTGACATACAGCAGAGCATGGTAAAATTGCTTAGTGCACCTTTATCTTATGGAGGCTCCTTCTCACCTGTATGTTAGAGTACTTTATTTTTTTAAGTAAACACACACCAACACTCATTTACAGTGTAGTCCTACCTCCTGGGATGGTTGTTGAGGAACTAAGGGTGGTGGTATTTCCAATGGGGGGAGCGGTGCTACTGCCTGGGGAGGTGTTCTGAGGGAGAGAGCTGGGGTTTGAGATAGAGGTAGGTGAAGAAGGTGAGGGTCCAGTTACATTGGAGGATGAGGGTGTGATGGTAAAAGCAGGAGTCTTGGAGGAGGTGTTAGCAGAGCTTGTGTTTGGAGTGACTGTACTTATAATTGTTGTACCCTTGCTGGTTTTTATAGTCATTGGATTTAGAGTTGTGACAAGCTGTGTCATTGCTGGAGTCCTGGTCTGTGCAGTTGATGTGAAAATAGTTGTGTCAGTCGAGGTTTGTGCTGTGGATGAGCTCATGGCAGTGTGTGTGACTGGCATTGTAGCTGTGTCATTGGTTGTTGGTGTGATGGGTTTCATTGTAGAGGTGCTGCTGCTGGAGTGTGTATTCTGAGTTTTCATAGCTGTGCTACTGATGGTTTGTGTGAAAGATGGCATTGTAGTTGTGTGTTCACTGGTTTGTGTGTTAGGTTTCATTGTAGATGAGTTGTTGCTGGTGTGTGGGTTAGGTGTCATTGTACTTGGGACATTGCTGGTGTTGGTGATCTGTGTTGCTGTAGTTATTCCTGGTGCTGTTGAGGTTGTGTCACTGCTTGTTTGTGTGATAGGTGTTGATGAAGTTTTGTAGTTGCTTGTTTGTGTGAAAGTTGTCTCTGAAGATGGGACATTGCTGGTTTGAGTGATTGATGACATTATGGTTGTGTGACTGCTCGTGTTTGTAGTCATGCCATTGCTGGTTTGTGTAAAAGGCATCACTGTGTGTTTACTAGTTTGTGTACCAGAATTCATTGTAGTGGAGTAGTTGCTGGTGTGTGGGATAGGTGTCATTGTACTTGAGAAATTGCTGGTGTTGGTGATCCGTGTTGCTGTAGTTATTCCTGGTGCAGCTGTGGTTGTGTCACTGCTTGTTTGTGTGAATGTTGTCTCTGAAGGCAGGACATTGGTGGTTTGAGTGATTGATGCCATTATGGTTGTGTGACTGCTCGTGTTTGTAGTCATGCCATTGCTGGTTTGTGTAAAAGGCATCATTGTGTGTTCACTAGTTTGTGTGCCAGCATTTAATGTAGTGGAGTCATTGCTAGTGTGTGTAACTGTGGTCATCTTAGATGTTCCATTGCTTGTTAGTGTAACCGTAGTCCTGCTGGTAGTCGTCTTAGAAATTGGCGCACTTGCAGTTTTTGTGTCGTTGCCTGTCAGTGTGGAATCTGGAGTGGGTGTCTGGGTTGTGCTCAGGGTCTCACAAGTGTCGGTGTGTCGGTTTGTTGGCTCTGGGCTTGCTGTGGACTGTGTTGTCCCACTGGTTGTAGTTGATAGAGAGTCAGTTGGGTTGATGGTGGTGGAGTAGCTGTCATCAGTAACCATCCTGGACTCAGTGCTTGGCTGAGTAGAGACCGTCTCAGTTGTGGGCTTTTCTATGGCTGTAGTGGCAAATGAAGTCATGATGCTCTCTGTAGTAGAGGGCGGTAAACTTGAAAAACTGCTGGTTGCAGTTGGAGTCATGTGAGAATCTGCAGGTGCTGTGGGTGTTTCCTTGTTTGTGCCCCCGTTGATGACATTGGCTTGTGTGGTTGCCATTCCTTAAGATAAAACAGAGTGAAAAAAATTACAAGCTCATCACATACTTTTCTCTGTGCTCATATAACTTATATTATGGGGGTTTAAAACTGATTGAGAGGCCACTGCCAAAATAAGGATTGAGGGTATTGCTACGGAAAATGATGCATTTATTTTGGGCAGTAAACAATACTAACACCCTAACTGTATGGGACACTCTGGATGTGTGTTGATTTACACATCAAGCAGACACAGCAGCGTTAGCAATCATTTTAATAACAGCATCTCAATCATCCACCTTCCAGTTTATTAGTTATATGCATTCTGATTGAAAACAGAAATTGATGCTTTGATTAGAATATATTTCCATGTTTAAGCACATGTATTAAGTGTTGATGGCAAAATGTGCCAAAAAGAGATAGATACATGGGCAATGTGCACTTGACAATAGCGAGAGGAAATTTAATAATAAGCCAATTCATACTTTCTATTAAGCAAGATTATGATGTGCAAATCTGCAAGAGCAACCACTTTAGAATATATAAATCAGGATACACCCTTGAAATGATGATATTATGTGACAATGTGGTGCTACACATGCTTAAGATACACCGCTGGAGAGCTGGAATCTTTACCATGTGAAAATCATGATTTACAGTTTAAAGAACATGACATTATGTGTAGGGCTAGGTTAAAAAAAAATTCTCATTCAGATTGATATTTTGAAGATTTTTCATACTGATTCATTTTGCTTAAAGATTGATCTTTTATTGGGGTAACTTTTAGTATGAACTTGAATATTTTATTATTGTGCCTAGTTTAAAGGTTTTTCATTAATAATTGAACTGCAAATATAATTTGTGCTATTAGTTCTCTAAAACTCCTTTCCATTTAAGCAAAACAGGTTCTGGAGCTGAAATATCTCTCAATGAATTGATATTAAATCAAATCAGGACCTTATGAATCAAAATCGAATTGGAAATCAGTGGCAATACCCACCCTTAACAATGCGACATCCTTAATGCTACAACTAAAATAGTAAGTAGCGGGACATTTTTACCCAAATGAACAGATCCAATTCTTTGGATGTTAAGGTCCCAAGGATTTTCCTGGTTGTGCGAACAATGTGAAGACTGAACATGTGAGAGTGAAATGAGGGCTGTTGGTGCATTTTCAAATGTGAAGCCAGTCGATAAAACGTACAGTTCATGTAATGTACCTTTTAGCTGCTATAAATGAGTCTGAAAACAGGAGTTTTAAAGAGGCACCCATCCTGAAATTATTATCAACTTTGAGTGTGTATAATTATGGACCATCGTTGTGACTTTAACACTCAGATTCCTCTGAATGAAAACTGTTTACAACACCAAGACATGCCAGTGCCACTAACGTCTCCTTTGAAAAGGAGCACTGCCCCCTGTTTGTTCAGTCTGCTGTCATGACGCCTGGTCCCATTTAGCCAGCTCACACTCTTCACTGTGTTTATGGGGTAAAAGAGGAAGCCAGAGGGCAGCTTGAGGCGTGGCACAGAAGTGTGGCTGTTCTTTGATACTAGCCAAGCCTGTTAAATTCCACTCCTTATCTGTATGCATTGAATGATTATATTCTAAGCTCCATTTCAGTAGACAGGGAGTGAACATACTACAGAGGGTCAAGGTGGGTCAGTGTTGTTTACTTTGCTTAAATAGATTTTTCTATCATCTTTGAAAGCACAAGGAAAAAGCAAGAAAACAAGGACTAAAATTGGAATTCGGATGAAATTTGATTGTTGTCTCTGTGTAAAAGCCCCGTGTCACCTAATGTCTTTATCACTTGGTAACCCAAACTCATTTAGAAATTAAAAACAATAGGCTGCACACACCTTGTGAAGGCAGACTTTCCTGGATTTTACATGACGCATGCACATGGACATTAAGCAATCATAAGAAGGATGTGACAAAGGGTGGGAAACACACATGCACTATCAGGTGGTCATTTTTGATGGTCATAAAGTGGAGGAGTGGCAGGATCAAATGCAACTGGATATGTATGGTACAAAAAGATCACTGCACATGTATGATGTGCTAATGGATAGGGATGGGTGAAAAAATTCGAGAAGCATAGTATTGCGATATTTTGTCTGGTGATATCCTATCATCTCACTGACCAAGAATCAATTTGTTAGTACAACAAATATAGCAGCACCTAAGAAGGGACATTAGGAATGCAAGCAGGGCACAAATGAGATGAACATGACACAATATAAAAAATAAAACACTGTTTAAATAAGACAAACATAAAAGAAAGACAAATGCTAAATTAGCTAAACAGTTGAAAATTTTTTATAAATCGCAATATGTTGTATCCCGATACTCACTGTATTGCAAAATGTTAAAAATCGCTATAATATCATATCGTGGACCAAGTTTCGTGATAATATCATATCGTGGGGCCACTGGTGATTCCCACCCCTACTACTGGATCATCTAGAAAAAGATTTAGAGAGCTAAAAAACCCTCTCAGATCTGAGGCAATCGCCCCTGTTTCTTGATTGGCCTTATCACAATCTCTGTTAGTTTTCAGTGTGACAGCAGTAACAAGGACTTGTTTCTTTCATGAGGGACTGGGCTGAAGGTGAAGTTTTCTTTGTCCACTTCATTCTTACACAGTTCACACACCACAATCTCAAAAGGCCAATGATTTATCAGCTTGTAATGAAAGCCGTCACATTTTAGCCATTTTTCAAATGCCTGCTGCATTACTGAAACTGAGTAAGTTGGTGTGAGAGCCAACAGGTGGCTTTGTGTACTTGTCCATGTTGCCCACCGGAGACATGAAAAAGTATTGTTTTTAACACACACCAACAATCAACCAGCTGTAAAGATGTTAGAGTATGATGGGGTGCAGTGTGTGGACACAGAAAGCTTTGTCAAAGAGCCTTATCACTTCTGTGTGTGTGCTCTGTTAAACCACTTTCTTTTTAATAACTTTCAGGGTACTAGTTTGTGTGTGTTGTCTACATGTTTAATTGGCTTTTTTCTGATACTACAGGACGTATCATGAGGAAAATAAGTGTGAAATTGCATTTCTGAGTATTTCTGCATTCAAATCACTGTAAATCTCTGGCAAGTCCAAGATTTCCTATGTCACAAATCCACGCTCAGCCCCCGGAGCCCCGCTATGCCAGACTCGGAGAAGTAGAAAGGACAATCGTGGATCGTGAGCGTTAGGGGATTGAAATGCTCGTAAGCTAATTATGATAGTAACTTTCATCAAGACATTAGTGTCAGAGAGCTGAATAGTTCCTATGTTACCTGCGTCTTTAACTACACCGACAATGTTAGGCTGCAAGCCAGCTTAAAGAGGAGTGTACAGAGTAGCGCTGTCTCCACCCGTGACTCAGAGGTAAATTGCTAATGAGCTACTGGAGCTCTGAAAAAAAAAGTCCTTCAAAATGACACAGGTAACTTGATTTTGGCTAAAAACTTCATAAAACTTCTGGATCCCCCACTTTACAACACCTTAATGGACCAAAGGGCCAATGGTGGTGGACAGCTCCTCTCTCTTTGCTGCAGGACAGAAAGATTCAAAAGATCTTTTGTACCCACAGCCATCAGACTTTACAACTCTTCTGTAAATAGCAGATGACTTTTTGACACATGACAACCATACCTGCCAACACTCCCATTTTTCCCAGGACTTTCCCGTATTTCAGACTTATCTCCCGCCCACCTCCCGTATTGTCATTTCTCCCGGGAATCTCCCATAGTTTGCATGATCCACATTCATTCATGAATCAGATCCCTATATTTGTCCAAAGTTGCCAGGTTTCCAGACAACTGAAGATTGTCCTGTGTTTCTGCTGAGCCCCACAAACACTGGATTGAAATTTTTACTTCACACTTTGGGATGTTTCAGGTCGGTTTAAGCTGTAAACTATATTTAAAAATGAACACTTCAATGAAAGGGAAATAAACATGAGATATAATTTTTACAATGATAGTCTTGCAACATGCGTTCAGGGCAGCCTCAGATAAAATAGTAAAATAGTGCTGTATTGCACACACAGACGTTCAGAGAGCTTTATATGGGACAGCATGTAAAACATATGAGGACTTAACCACTAATATTAGTGGACTAAATAAGTTCAAGGCATATCGTAGCTATTATTTTATATTTATTTATAAATATTTATTTATTTATTTAGCTATTTACTTTTATTTTGTTACTGTTAAAACAACAACAAAAAGTTTGCAGCTTCACTTATACTTATTTGGATGAGCAATTTAATTACAAATACTATCATAATTAGCTTATATCCACCATACAAGGTAACCCCAAAACTGCCCACCGCAAAAATCTCCCGGATTTTATAACCCAAATGTTGGCAGGTATGATGACAATTGAGACTACAGAAAATTGACTTTCCCTTTGGGGTAAAATAAAGTAAAAAGTAAAATAAAAATCACAATTTAAAAACCACTGAGAATACTTTAAGTTGTAAAATAAAATGATCGGCGTGGGACCTTAAAGTCTAAAGAGATGGATTTAATTACTGTCAAACTTACAGTGTAAAATGCATTATCTATAGCTTTTTGTCATCTGCAGTTAGCTACATCCATCACATTAGTTCAAAAGTATACCTATTTAAAATGCAGAGAGGGATAGTCTTCTGTGTTATTGTGTTTTATCCAGATAATGGCCCTAAAAGAAACAAGCAACTGCTTTAAGAATTCAAAGAAAAAATGTGTATATTGTAAACTTGATGAGTGATGAGGTGCAGGTCTCATTAATTACAAACTTTCTTACCATTAAAAAGTTGAAGTCAGGAAAACTACAGTCAGCCTACCATGGTACAGTTGAGATTATTTTGGGAAACAAATAGGCTGTCTTAACTGTCCTCGATTCTTGTGATAACTAGGCTTTTTTTTTTTTTTTTTTTTTTTTGCAGTGATACTGTCAAGGCTCTGTTTTTTCCACGTCCTCGGCATGCAGATATTACAGCTCCATCATGGAAAGATTGAAGCTGGAACTTTAAAAAGCTGAAGTATTTCTGGCATCTACCTACAGGTCATAGAGAAACCTTCCCCAGATACCATGAAAGGGTTTTGTTCTCACCAGAAAACATTGTGTTATTATTGAAAAAGGAGAAGTGGTGGAACTAAAAGGAAACAACCAGATACAAATTTTCTTATGCATTCCTTACCATAAACAAATACTGGTTCCTCTTTCTCTGGTACACTGACCGTAATGATGATTTCCTCCACAGTGACAGTTATGTACAGCTTTGCACAAAGATGGAAAATGTCAGTGCATCATCTGAGAGGACTTTGTGACGCCTTTGCAGACAACAGATAGATGAATAGCTGCAACACTGCATGATTAAATGTCCCCAACCACAGACCACAGCCTCTCTTTGACTTCATGTTACCACTCTAGCACTCGGCTAACATAGTTAATTAGTGTAATACATTTAAAGCAGTGGGGTAATTAAAAGCCTTGCATGCTCAACACAGAGCCTTGTCTTGAAGGATTTAACCTACAGCCGGATAATCCCCTGCAGACACAAAAGGGATGACTGGGTCAGGCCAGGTGAGAAGTGGGTCTAAGGTTGACCTATGAGTGCATACTCAGGAGGATATGGATCAGAGGGTCTGGGTTTATGCGCTGAGCCCTTTGCTCCAAGTCTACAGACAGCTGCTTAGAAATATTATCATTGCCTTTGAGCTGCCACGCCTCTCCTGCTCCATCTTCTCCTTTATTTCCCCACATGGAAGTCAAACACATATGACATGTCGACACAGAGACATCTGCTGCCAGCTGCTGAAGCTTTGCATCACTTCAAATCACTAAGAGCAACAGAAAAAAAGAGGCTCCAGTTTTTGGTTTCACTTGAGGGGATTTCTATCATGAGACACAACAGCACTCCTGTGAAGTACCTGCTCAGATCCAGTTTCCTTCTTCAACTTCCTCTACCCTGTGCCACTCCTTGTACATAAAACAATATCAGTATGATTCAGCTGCAGCACAGCACTTCTCTTGTTTTTAGTGTTTATTATGAAATGTTCCCGTTTGCTCTACAGGAGTGCAGCAGCAATGTAGAGGGCAGCCCTGATTTAGTGGTGAAAATGTACCTGAAGAAGGTATGCTGGCCTCAAAGGCAGGAAGAGCCTGAAGCCTTCAAACAGGAACTCATTAAGGGACAGAGAAGTCATGTGGAGAGTTGACCTATATGTGTGTTTGTGTACTGCCTGTTTTTTCAAATATCACGCTGTACAACATCTGAAACAAACTGATTATAGACAGATGTCCTGGGGGGACTCAGACTACTGCTCAGTGCTTATTATTTGTCACTCTTTAGGTCCCCTCTTCAGCTAATGAGAGTCAACATTTCCTGTGACCTCTACGCTTTTAAAGGTGCCATCCCGAAGTTAAACAGCCTAATGATGCAAACACAGATACACACAGGTCAGGATCCTTCAGCACTCACTGCAGATGGGGGGCCAGGCCTGAGGGCCGCTACATCAAAGCACAATAGACGACGGGTCACAAGGAGTGACCACACATGACTGACAGAAAGCTTTCATTCTTATTAACTATAAGTCCATCATCCTGCTGGGAGCGTAGTGTCAAAAGTCATGATACAATGATACTCAAAAGCTCTAAAAGAAATCAAGCTACAGTGTTAATATAGTCAGATTCAAAATCCCAATAACATTGTTGTATTATGCTGTATATTAGCCTCACTGTTGGGATGAGGAGGATGACCATCTCCCACTGCTCAAAGAAAAGAAACAGAGTCACTGCCGTTTTTTTCTGCAATTTGATAAATAATTTGATTTGCAGACTTTGTTCAATGTTTGTCTTCATGTTTGTCATGATTAGAACTTAAATGGACATAAATCACTTAATATAAAAGTGGTCATCAATATTAGTCAAATGTAAACATCGCAGTTTTTTACTCTGAAAACCCACATTTCCCATTTCGATTTGTTTGTATCTTCCTAAAGAGATGACTACAACGTGAGTGAGATAACCTGATCTGTTAATACAGAAACAATCATGTGTATCATTAACACTACGTCCTGCAAAGACTTTGAATCTTCTTTTCACAAAAACGTCATCATTTCTGAGACTTTGTCTCTTCCTGCTGCAGATGATAGAGACTTGCTGCATGACACACATTTCCACATTTCCCATGTCGACTTGTATGTGTTTGTATCTTCCTGAATAGATGACTACATGGTGAGTGAGATCACCTGATCTGTTAATACAGAAACAATAATTTTGTATCATTAACACTACGTCCTGCAAAGACTTTGAACCCTTTTTTCACAAAAACGTCTTTTCTGAGACTTTGTCTCTTCCTGCTGCAGATGATAAAGACTTGCTGCATGACACACATGTACAGCCTTAGATGCAGACAAACCTCTGGCTTCACTGACACTTTTGTCACTGACATGTTGAGTCAACCTCAGCAGGCAGACAGACAAACAGAAAGAGAGTTATTACTCTATAAGTCGGAGGTAACAGATGGCTCCCCAGTGCAGTGCTCACTCACAGGCCTGTGCACATATCATATCCAATTAAAGCTCCGCCAGCACATGCTTTCCAATTACAGAGTGAGGTTTAGTGGCCTACAGCAGGTCTAATCCAACAGGACGCAGTAGGGATGCAGCATCAGAGGGAGGAAGGACAGCAGAGGGAAGAGCAATGAGACCGGTTGAAAAAAGAAAAAAAAAAAAACAATACACAGCTGCAGGTGAGAGAGCTTCAGATGAGGAGGATCGGATAAATTATCAACATTAAACAGAGACCAACAAACTGAAACTGAGCTTTTTAAGAAGTCTTCACACTGATGGGAAAATAATCGCTAGAGTCAATAACATGTGAGCGCAAAACTCGAGAGCTGCAATGACAGATTTCAAGAACCAACTTTTAAAATAATTGACACCATATTTCTGCCATTTTTTCTCCTTCTTACAGTGTCCACCAAGTGCGGCTTATAAACTGTTAAAAATCCAGTTTTAAAAACATGTGGTCTGTTTTCAACAGATTCTGCATATAAATACAGAATCAACTGCAGCCCAAGTATTATTGTTCACGAGGGTTTAGCGGGCTTTGATAGCACACATGACAATATTGCTTTAATCAATCAGCAAAGTGCTGGTAACACCAGAAGCCCCGAAAAGTTTGCATCACTTCCAGAGGCTATACTGCTGCCAGACATTAGCTGATAGGTTTAAGTGTTTCAAATGACAGTTTCTTACAGCTCTACTATGTCTGAGTCATTTTACGTTCCTACAGCTGCGCATTAACTCCCTTGCAGTGCTTGCATGCTTTTCTAATGACCTGGCAATGACTGACCGCAAAACATGACAGATGTTGAGGAGACATGATAAACCACGTGAGATCTGAGAAAAGAAACAGCAGGGAGAGGAGAAGAAGATGTAACTTCTACACTCCTCACCCTTTCTGGAAGACATCTTGGACGACACAAGAAAATGTGGCGCCAGCATCAGGTTAACAGAATCGTGACCCTCAGGAGGTCTTTTCATCTGTACATTTTTATTGCTACTTCAAACACATTCAATCACAGCCCCCCTCTGTACGTCTTCCTCCAGCTCTGTTTCTACACAGTAGACGCATGACAGGGAGGGACCACAAAAACAGCCTGCAGGCTTGCAGGAGAGGCTCCAGCACCAGACTGCAACTAACTTTGCATATGAAGACCATAAACCACAAGGAATGAACTCAGAGCAGACCAAATAATGAAAATGGTGACCAGGGGATTTAGCTGCAGCTAAACTTACTAAGCTTGACAGTGGAGAGCTCATCAAAATTCCTCAGAGCAGCTTTACCATGATGTGGACGGGGTCCACATATATTCACAGAGTGTTATCTGAGTGTGTGGATTGGATTGTTGTTTGACAGATGCTTCTGTCATGGGCATCTGAGAGTGTTGAGTCACCCTGAAGGAGCTGTGAGTCACAGTTTGAGGGTATTTTTGGGAAACCCCCATGAATGAGCAGAAAAGATGTTTGTTTTTTCAATGAATGAATGAAGTCACCTTCAATAAATATGGAGGAGTGGGATCTCTCTGTTATTGCTACAGCACCACAATTGTTGACAGTATAGTTTTCGCTTTGCCTTCTCTGCTAAATGTGGATTGAAAAATGTATTTAAAAAATTAAATTTTCCAGTCTTTAGGACTGTCATATATGTGCAAATGAGTTCAATTTGAATCGAGGATTGTCTGATATATTATGTACATTGTGTATATTATAACCAAGTGAAAGGTTAAAAGCAATTGCATAAATAGTTGTAACACTTAGCTCAATATTTGAGCAGTATTTAGTGGCAAAAAGATAGAAGAGGTTATCCACAGGGGTTCATAGAGAACATTTTAAAATCAAATTAATCTGGTTTCAGTCTTAAACTAATGAAAACTGTCCTAGCCTCGGTCGACAGAAGTCTACAGTTTTATAGTTTGAACACTGTTGGAGAATTAAACTTTGCTCACCATCGATGACAGCAACCAGGAAAAACGCAAAAGGGAGATAACATAGTAACATGTTTCCTCTCTTCGATGACACTTTGTGAGCTCGTCTCCGGGGTACCAGCCGGTAACGAAGTCCTGAGTGAAGCCGGTGTAACGGTGAGTATAACGGAGCTGAACAGATGCTATTTCCTCCGGGTTGTGCTCTCGTTGCTTGCTACAGGTGGACCAGACTGTGAGCTCAGACTCTGACAGAATTAAAAGCTTTAGTCCCTACTTTGATTGGCCGGCTGTCCTGTCACTCATCATTACTGTAGCTGCTGGCGCTGGATGGCCCCACCTCCACCAGTACGCGTGTTTAACTCTGCTGCCATGGATATAAACTCAGGAAAACTTTGTCCCCCTCTTATTGGTAGCACAAATTTCTTCAGATCATCTAATCTATGGGCCCGACAGATATTTGGTACACCTCAGGGTGGCAAAGGTTCATCATGATTTTTGAAAACATATATGTCTGTAAATCATTGTATGATAACCTTTCCAGGTGCCCAGCTAAATATTGCTTATCAGCTCATGACGCTAACCACCCCTTAAGAAAAATTCGATTTTTTTTACACTGGTGTATATCTGGTTTAGGCTCATGGCAGGGACATTTCTCAAAGGTTTACAATGACTGTTTGGTATCATTTTGAAGGGGACCCTTGTGGCTTTCATTTAAGCCTATATGTGTCCATCTTAGACCAACATGGAAGTCACTAGAGGTCTTTAAATCACAAAAAATACACATTTTCCTGCAATTTTCGCCTATATGATATGATTTCTTTTGGCCATATGTCACCCAGGGACATCAGGGATACAAGACTTACAAACTGCAATACTCTTGGGACTCATAAGATTCAGAAAATGGGTATCATACCCATACTATCTCTTTGTGGGAGGTGACTGTGAGAAGTTTTAAGAAGTCAGAGTTTAAGGCGAGAATCTTGGTTCTGCAGGGAAGATCTTCCATCAGGAATATATGTCAGGACAGAAAATTGAAAAAAGTCCCTTCGAATGCATTGATTCTGTATGATTTTTAGTGCTGAATCCATTCCTGCCGGTTGCCCAGCTGTAAAAGTTACCGTTTAGTCATAATTATTGATTAATTAGCTGAAATATTGATATTTTGCCTGAAGCTAGAAATGGCTATTAATTTCCTACTTGTTAAGAATTTATATATGATTGTTTGGTATCATTGTAAAGGGGACCTTCTAGCCTTCCATTTAAGCCCATGGTTGTATCTGTCTGAAAAACACAGGTCACATGACCTCTTTAAACCATAAATTACACATATTTTCCCAGTTTTCGCCATATAGTTTCTTTTATCCCTATGGGATCAAAGGATATCAAGGCCCAAAAGCCAACAATCTTAATGTTAAATGGACTTTCAGGATTCAGGAAATGTATGATATACCCATTCTATTTCTTTGTGAGAGGTTACTGTGAGCCCTAAAATAGCAGTAACTGGCTCAGGCCCATTCATTGCCTGAGCAGGGTAATTCAGTAATAATCAAAGCCCAGGTAGACATTTTTCATCCTTTTAATCAATCAGTAAAATTCACTGAACATGGCAACTAATTATAAATATGAATAGAAACAATTGAATTAAAAAAGCATTACAATTCTTTGTGATCATACTTTTTTCCCCTTCAGTGCATTACATATTCATGCAAAGGCCACTTGACTTTCGGCACTGACAGCCGCATTAGGCTGTCCTGAATCCACTTGTGTAGCCAAGGGTCACCAGCTCCTCACAGGGATCTTAGACTGGGCTGTAACTTCAGAATCATGTGACCCTGTAGGTATTTTTGAGGAAAAGTGGGCAACCAGCATTTTTTGAAAGTTCAAGGTGTCCCAAACAAGAATCCACTGGTTGCCCTCCAAATAAGGCCCCTGGTTTTCTATATTTCCTCCTCCAAGTTAACCCCCCTCCCCATGGTAGATTGGATGTTAGACACCATTGCCTATCCTGGTTTAGACTCATAGTTAGGGCACCTCCCAGTGTTAAATAATATTGTATTTGGTGTCATTTTAAAGGGAACATTTGTAGCTTTCATTCAAATCCAATTATAAACCTTTATGAACTACATGGAGGTCACTAGAGCTCCTTAAACCACAAATAACATAAACTGTTCAAAAAATTAAAGGGATTACTGAAACAACACAATATAACTCCAAGTCAATCACACTGTCCATGTAGGAAGAAACACCGTTTGTGAGTCAACTTCAACTGCTGTTGTGCAAATGAAACAGACAACAGGTGAAAAGAGAGGCAATTAGATAGACAACCTCTATGAAGGTAGTAACCAGAGACTACTTCTCTGTTGTCATCTATACTGGATGATGTTTTAGTCACTTTCGCACTTTGTCAGCGCTCTCACCCCTAGAGAAAGAGTGAGGCGGTGTCTACAACTCACAGAAGTTGCTAAGGTAGGATGGCACATCAATGCAAGCTGTGGCAAGAGGGTTTGCTGTGTCTGTCAACAGTGTCTAGAGCATGGAGGAGATACCAGGAAACAGGCCAGTACAGAGGGAGACAAGCAGGGGGTGGTAGGAGGGCAACAATCCAGCAGCAGGACCGCTACCTCCTCCTTTGTGCAAGGAGGAACAGGCGGAGCACAGCCAGAGCCCTGCAAAGTGACCTCCACCAGGCCACTAAAATTCATGTTTCTGCTCAAACTGTCAGAAACAGACTCCATGAAGTCGGTATGAGGGCCCGTTGTCCACAAGTGGGGCTTGTGCTTACAACCCAACACCGCACGGGGCAATTGGCATTTGCCAGAGAACACCAAGACTGGCAGGTTCATGATCTATTGGCGCACCATGCATTTCACGGATGAGAGCAGGTTCATACTGAGCACATGTGACAGACGAGACAGAGTCTGGAGACGCCATGGAGAACGTTCTGCTGCCTGCAACATCCTCCAGCATTACCAGTTCAGCCATGGGTCAGTAATGGTATGTGGAGGCATTTCTTTGGAGGGCCGCACAGCCCTCCATGTGCTAGCCAGAGGTACCCTGACTGCCATTAGGTACTGGGATGAGATCCTCAGACCCATTGTGAGATCATATGCTGGTGCAGTGGGCCCTGGGTTTCTCTTGCATGACAATGCAAGGCGTCATGTGTCTATAGTGCGTCAGTAGTTCCTGCATGATGAAGGTATTGATGCTTTGCACTGGCCTGCCTGCTCCCCAGACCTGAATCCAATTGAGCACATCTGTGACATCATGTCTTGTTGCACCGCAGACTGTCCAGGAGTTGACTGATGCTTTAATTAAGGTCTGGGAGGAGATCCCACAGAAAAACATCCACCACCTCATCAGGAGCATGCCCAGGTGTTGTGGGGAGATTGTACAGGCTTGTGAAGGCCACACTCACTACCGAGCCTTATTTTGACTTGTCTTGAAGAAATTTTCACTGGAGTTGAATCAGCATGTAATGGGATTTTCCACTTTTATTTTGAGTATGATTCCAAATCCAGAGACTCTATGGAATAGTAATTTTCATTTACATTGATCATTTTTATGTTTTTTTTTTCTCAACACATTCTATGATGTATAGTCCTTGAGCCGGACCAGATGTCGGTACCACTTGGGTGGGCAAAACCTTACATATACTACATTGTTTTTAGGGTCAATATAAGTAAATTAAAATATGATAGACTTTTCATAGGGGTAGCTTTTTATATTTTTTCTCATTTTGTTATTTTCCTCAATAGGCGAATTTTTGTTAACTCCCAAAGCAACACAGAAAGTCAAAAGCACATTAAAAGTCAAACTCTTTTTGGGTCACACTGCTCTTTTCTATAAATGAATCAAACCTGTGTCTAATTAAATGAGTTGATGATGTGGGAGTGGCCCAATTTGATGGTGGAGCAGTTCTTTCAGGTATCATAGCACTTTTTAAGTTTAGTTTTTTTTTTAAGTTTTTATATGATAGACCTTGGTAACTGGTAGCTTTATTGTAGTTATCACTCATTAAAGTAATAGAGTGCAGCTGTTCAAAAACGAAAAATCGCCTTCCTTCAAAATTAGCTTTCTTTCATTTTAACCTCTCATTTAGGTGTGTTTGAACTATTGGCTAGCCATAGAGACTTGTAATAACCCCCTAAGTAGTATTTCAGGTAATTCATCTAATACAGGTGTGTATATATAAGCTTCAATTAGCCAATTGTCAGGTCTAAATCAAGGTCTAAATTAAGGATATTTTTTGACTTAGAAGTAGAAGTAAAGTAAATGCAGACTAATAGCATTATCATAACACAACCTTAATATGACACTGACATATTTTAAATGCAGGCACTCAATATACAATCATCCTGGCTGGTGTAAGGCAAGAAGACATTAGCAACAAAATTAGATCTACTGATGTATACACTCTATACAATCATCTGAGAAAAACTCCATTCCTCCACCAAGAACTTGATGAGACTGGCTTTGTTGGCAAATGAAAGATGAAAGAAAGCTCATTTTGAAGGAAGGCGATTTTTTGTTTTTGAACAGCTGCACTCTATTACTTTAATGAGTGATAACTACAATAAAGCTACCAGTTACCAAGGTCTATCATATCAAAACTTATTGTAGGGATGTATAGCAATAAAAAAATCACAACTAGAATTTGCCCACCCAGGTGGTACCGATATGTGAAATTTTGGTTCTTGGCTCAAGTACTAGTAATGAAAAAAGATTTTCAACTGTAATATTTCTTTCATTGCAATCTAGGATGGGTTATTTTAGTGTTCCCTTTATTGTTTTGAGCAGTACATTTTTTTTCCACAAATAGCTAAAATCTATGAATAATCTAGCTAGCTACCTTTAATCCATGGAATTCATTGATTTCAAATAACTTCATTGATTGACATAAACATATAATCAAATAATAAAAAAGTGTTAGTTACCTTGCCAAAGTAGATGGATACCAACAAAGTATTAAAAGCTGTCAGCATGCATGTTGGCCTCTTGTCTCCGCAGTAACTTTCTAGTCAGGTTCCAGGCTCACAGCAATCCCCCAGATTTTAATAATGTGGTTTCATTTTCTGAAACTATTCTGAGGCATGCATCCCATTGTGGGACATCTCACTAATATTACTCAGAAAACCAGGGTTATGTAAATAACCTAAAGTTTCCAACCAAGCAACTTTGCATCAAAAACACACATATACAGACACCCAGAGAAAAACTCCTCCCTTGGCAGTGGTGAAAAAAAACAGGAAAATTATGCAAATTAGGCGATGGCGTCATCAAGCAACTTCTAGGTTTTTCCTCACTGTTGTCATATTGGTTCAGTACCTGGAAGCCTTAAACGTTAGTGGATCTGTCTACTTCACCAGGCCTTGCAGCATTGCTCTGTATTACATGAAGTACAATCTGGTCAATATTGAACCCAGTGTTTCAGATAAATAAGAACTTCAAAATGAACTTACCTTCGTTATTTTTGAAAGTATGTCATGCGCAATTTACTCTTGAGACAGAAATTTGCTGATGGCCCCCTTTTGTCCAGATATGAAAAAAGTAGAGTTCAAACCCAATTAGACTGGGAAACATAATAACCCCTTTTCAACTCCATCCTTTTCTTTCTTGTTGTTATTGTAGACCTCTTAACAGGCAGGACTATTCAAGGCCATTCGTTAGAACATGAAGACAGCTCTCTAAAACCACTCTGTTGCATTTCAGTAGTTATGTCACCTCTGTAGCAAATTTATAAAACATTCAGTTGCTTGCTGACCTTGTTATCCAGGAGGACTGGATACTTAAAAGTTCAGCTACTCAAATAACAACCTTTTCCCTCTCTCAGTGGCGTCATGTCATCTAAATACAAATATTGATTCTGTGTTTCTTATCTTTGATTTCAAAACCTAAATTAGATGGGAACCTCACCTTGAAAGCTTTGGCCCACAGAGGACCTTTATGTCAGAACAGGTATTATAAACAAATCGCAGTGGATTTACCACCTGAAATTTTCCAGGCCGCTGATTTAAATCATCAAAAGTTCCTAAACCCTGCTTCTTTTATTGACAAATGACTTGAGTCCATACCTATATCATATCTTTGCCACAGCATTATTACAGTCTCATAAAAGTAAAAACAAAACTGATGCCGGTTATCAAGTCATAACACACTGATAAAAAAGGTTATTCCTGGCATGACTGTCAGTGTGTCACAGTACCTGTTGTTCTCTTCCTCTTTTTTTAATTTTTTTTTATCCATACACCAGTGCTTCAGTTTTATTGTTTTCTACTGACTCATTTGACTCAATTTCCTGCTCCGCCTCTCCATCCAATCACCTCACTGTTTTCAATTCAAGCAAGAAATCTAACTCGAATAAACGTCAGGTCATCCTTTGAGCAGTGGAGAAAGCACCACCAGGATTTGGGCCTGAAAACAGACGCCAAGACAGCAGAGTTTGTGTTGAACAGGAAATTTTTGCCTCTTATCGTGGCACATGTTACATAAATAACTCTTATTAGTCTCTGCAATGTCAACACGGTAGGCTAACTGTCCAGGCAGCTGCAGATGGTGCTTGCTAGCAGAGCTGGCATTTACTGCTGCTAGTCACTAGCAATCTGACATGGTGAATACTGTTTGAAGCTAACATGGGATCTTCTGCCGGCCGGTTTCTTGCTCTGCCAGAAAGGGGTGTGTCGTGGGGAGGGTGATAAAGGCCTCAACGGCTCAATTTTTTCAACTGCTTCTCAGATGACTTTAATTGCAGGTGACAGAACTTGACATTGCAGATGCTTAACCTTCACATACTGTTCAAATCCTGTACCCTCACAGTTTGTTCCGGGTCAAAATTGCCCTTCAAAGAGTTCAAAGAGCAGCTTTCTGTCACAGAAAGTTCTCTTGACTAGTTAGGTCATCTTGACCTCTGTCTAGGTGTGTCTGTGTGACTGTATGTCTGTGCGTGCGTGTGTGTGTGTGTGTGTTTCTGTCAAGGTAAGGTAGTTTCATAATGATTTGAATATATCTTTTTGAACAACAAACCTTACATTGAACACTGTTGTTACTGTTTGTCACTTGTCCCACACTGCTAGATCTAAAATCCATCTAAATATAGATATGGGTCAAATTTGGCCCATAACAGCCTTAGAGGGGAAAAATTTGTAGCACATAAACAAAAATACACATGAATATTTTTAAATTAATTTTATGTATTTTGGGCAACTTCAGGAAAAGTCATCAAGTTTCAGGCTTAAAATATGATGTTTAGGGTATTTTTACTGCTGTTAAAAGTCAAAACAGGTCAAATTTGACCCGAACAGTATGTGAGGGTTAAGAAAAACATACAGATGATATTTATCAAATGATCTGAACCCTATAACTCTGTAAATTATAGGGTTAGGGCTTAAAGGACATCTGTGATCCAGGTCAGCTGACATCAAATATTGTGACAATAAAGAAACATTTTTTCTTTGTGATCTGTTGGAGCTGAGATGTGCAAGCAGTTGAACATAAGAAGACACATAAGTGTGAATTCCTGGACTTTTTATGAGCGGTATACAATTTACAGCCTCGCAATAAACAAACATGATCATTTTTTCATCAACATAAAGTAAAGTGTATTTATCGTCTTCATTATTTTGATATTTCTCTGCAGACATTTTGAACTTTTCAGTAACGTTTTTCAATTGATAAATTTCCCATCGACCTAATCACTGCAGAAACTGCTTATGATGGTCACATCACTTGTGAAAAAGTGACCTTTAACAGGAAGGTATTCAACCTCAGAGCCAAATTGGATGACATGTTTTGGTTATATTTAACTAAGTGATGGATTTTATCTGACAATATTAACATTAATGGTTAATGTCTTCCTCTTTCATGTTTGTATGAAGGCAAATTAAACAAATATCTTTCTTTATTCTGCAAGTTACCATGACACCGCTTTTATGGCTCTGCTCAGGGACACTCCTTCATAAGAGTCATAACAAATATTCGTCATACATTTAAACAAATACACTTTTCTGACCTCACTCTTATCTCATGCAAATATTCAGGAACATTGCAACAATTTTCAATAGCTTTCTTTGAGTCCCCGCCTGGCAACCATCAGGATTAATCCCAGACTCCCTTTCCGTGTTTACACAAGTTTGTCTCATATCAGGGCTGGAGTCCTGTCATTCCTGTCATTGGTTAATATAGCGCAAAGTCATTCAGTGGCTTAACTTTTTTCTGGTGCATTAGGAGATGATGTTTTTCTGGACCACAGGATGAAAACATGTCATACTGTGTGTAAATGTTGAATAAAAACTCCCCAGTTGGATGGTTTTAGTCTAAAAAAGCTCCTTTTGCTGGTTAGAAATGAACATGCAGTGTTTTTAACATCAGCCGGTAAATATGCCTCAGATAGTGATGCTAACAAACTAATGCTGAACAAGCACATGTTCATCATGTAATATTATATAATGCAGCTTAGCTTGTTAGTGTGGATGTTGACTGTTGCTTAAAAGAAAGAAAATCAGGCTAAATCAGGATGTGTTTATACCTTAAAGCTCCTGTAAGGATCTTTTAGTTTGAATTGGTTTTGATGCCCCCTTGTGGACAAAACAGTCTTCGCTCATCTTGTCCTTAGTGTCTTCTGACAAAAATCGCATCCTGCTGACTTTTGACAGTCAAATATCCTATTTGTTGTGATCATTGTTGTGGAAAATATAAAAACAGGTTTGTTTCTGCAGCTGCTTGGCAGACACCTGCCTCCTCACACCTGTTTCAGGCACTGAAAATTACTAAATGAAATTCATCAATCTTGTCTATGACAGTCTTGTTTGCTTTTAAATATCATTAAAAGACATCAATTTTAATTTTAGTCATTTTCATTAAAGTTATCACAATGATATAACCATGTTCACAGTCTTAGTTTGACCTGTTAGCATACTAACTTTATTCATTTGTGGTGAAATAATTTAAGATTTGTTTCCAGTCTTGACTTAAGAAGTGGATTTGCTCCTCAGTATCCCCCTTAAAGAGGTAAGTAGGAAGACCAGCTGAAGAGACATTTGCATCCTGTATTTGTGTACATGGCCAAGTCATCAAACTCCCTCCTCTTTTTTATTGCCGTTGTTTCCTTTTTACTATCTTCCTGTGTACATAACTCAATATGCCGCCTCTTCCCTGCTCTGGAGATAAGAAAATCATGAACAACACTCTCTTGTTAGAGCTGCGGCCTCTGGGAGGCAGCAGGACTGTCAGACACGAATTCACCCATCAGCAGAGTTCACTTAGTAACTCTAGTGTTGACAAAAATGCCTCTGCCTGGAAACCTCTAAGGAGAGAGTGTTTGAGAGCAACACAACTGTTTTATTCCCCCATGAAATAATGTCATACTCCTGATGTCCTCTTCCCCACTTTTCAAAATTTGACTAAGGCTGAACTACCCATTTTCGAGTCAATGGTGAGCTCATAACACTCAATGATACTGATTTATGATTTACTCTGCTGATGTCAACAAAGTAAAGAAATAAAGATTGCACCATTGTGAAAAAAGTTGGTTTATTATTTACTGAAAAAGGGGATTGGCAATGATTCATGTGGGGTTAAGGTGTAAATCTACTTTGTAATTGTTTGCAAAAAGATGCAGATATCACTCTGACTGGAAAGGCCATACAGTTCTCCTTTTGATTCAAGGAAGTAATTTATTTCCCTACAGAAATGATGAAAGGAAAGATCAAAAGGTCAGCACAGCTAAAGTTTACATGTATTCAGGTGAGACGGAATGAGCTATAACCATCCATTTTTTTATGCTTTGTTATTGTGTGAATTTTGGGCTTCTTGAGTGCCTTCAATTACAGACACTAATTCACAAAGATTTCATGATCTGCAACTTATTTGAAATAAGACAAATAAGGAGAGAGCATATTTAAACGTGCACACCACTTAAATATGTCACCTAACAGAAGCTTAAATTGAACATTATGCTGTCGTGAAAACACCTGAAATTGAAAGAAAGACATTACATTTTGGTGTTATTTTTGATAACACCAAAGATATTAGCAATACAAATGTGACTTCTTGGGGAGCGTCTTCTGTTCTAGTTTGGGAGTAGTCCATCCTATCAGTGCAAACACTGGAAAAAATACTTTGTGTGGGTATATCTCAGCCACATCAACAAGTTATTGATAAATACTATTATTTATTTCTTCCAGCGGTTTGCTTATATAACTCTCCATTCTGCAACTGCAAATATTCTCTGAAAGGAAATTTAGGGTGGTGAACGAGGGACTGATGTGGTTTTATTGGAGTGACTGGGCCAGTCATTCCATTAAACCCACATCTTAAGGAGGTTAGTCCGTGAGTTTCACTGTAGTGAAAGTACAGAAAAAAACTAAAATTATAATCAGTAAATAAGGAAGAAAAAGAGGCATGATTACCCAATATGCTCTGAAGCATATCTAATGTGAAGTAGAGGCCTCAACCAAAAAGCCAAACGAAGACCATCATCACCACCCTGTGGTGGAAAGACATAGAGTCCAGTCTACTTCAGCGAGCCTCACATGTATAGCAAACATGCTGATTGGGGAAGCTCATACTGCCCACTAAGGTAGTGGGTATACTTACTAATCGTCTGCCATTAACAAATACTGCTTTCTACATCTGAACAGAAGGGCCTGACTTAGGCATCAGCATGTTTAAAACTCCTCTACACACATGAAAAACCACAGCAACAGTCCTGCATAACAGAAGATTTTCTTTATTGTTTTCTCCCTAATCAGTTTTAAATTTATTGGACAAGCACAGTCTCGTGAATCATGTCACAAGAACCTGAAAGAACATAAAAATGGAAGATATCATTAGCTACAAAAATTTGGCTGTGATAAAGAAAGGGAAGAGGTATACACTAAAATAAAATTTATACATGGGTCTAGGACTCCTTAAAGTAAAATGTAGTGTTTTGTACATTTCTCTTGTAAACAAAATGTATCTTGAAACAATCTGGCAAATCAGATGTGTAGAGAGACGAGGTCACACTAAAGAAAACGAACACTGGATGGCATGACACATCGGCAGAAAACCCTCCAGCAACAAAAGGCTTAGTGGGTCAGAGAAATGTCATGAACACAAAAGTGTAAAAATAGTCTCACAGAAGCATGACAGTTTTTTTTTTTTTTCACATAAAACAGCATCTCTGCTACATACTCCAACCTTCACTCCGTTGTCCCTGCTTTACTGTGATATGAGGTATATGCGAGGCAAATTCTTGTTTACGATCAAACCGTTCAACATGGCAACATAATATTTAAGATATAACAGCATTGCATTCACTGTGCCATGTTTAATGATTGCTTACAACAACAGGCCATCGGGGCGTAAAGGGGTTAAAAGACTCATTCAGCAGAGTGATATCAAATCCAGCACTCGAGGCCAGCTGTAGCTACGGAAGACAGCGCGAGTTTTGTCTTTACAAAAAGAGACCGTACAGCATAAATACATTTAAAAGTCATCAAGAAATTACACTTAACATTAACTAGACAATATGTTGCACCCGTGCGTCTGAGGAATAGGCACCCAATGTCTAAGGGGAAAAATATAATGCTTGGTATTGCCAGCATAAGCAAAAGACTAAATGCATACCAAATTTAGAGTCAGCCATATTTTTTTTTTTTGGCTGCCTGGGAAACGGCTTAAGAAATACTTGATCACTAACACATTTGTCATCAAATTCATTAAGAAAGAAAAGCTTCTAAGTTGAGTAACAAGTCAAACTAAAACTAGGGGTTTGAATTACATTTACAATAACCCGATTACATGATACTTAAAAGACCCCCCTCCCACCCGCGCTAGACCCTTCCTAAAGTTGAGAGAAAAAACTTTATTTAAAAACCCCATTCTCACGTATCAACTCCCAGCCCTCCCCACCAACCCCAAAGAGTCTCCCTGACCATACACCAAAATATTTTCCTCCCAGAAACCCCATCTGCATATGCCCAAACTACTACTCACTCCACTGCTGATGTCTGAGCTGTTAACCTGACAGGGTCTTTGACTCAATGTAAGAAATCGGCTCAAAGTGCTAATTGGATTCTTTCAAAGAAATAAGAGAAATGAGGGAGAAGAGGAGGGCGGGGAATGGGGAAGGCCATTCTATCGCTGTCCAACAGCTACCTCTATTGGCCAATGAAAAGCCCTAACAACACTTTTGTTCTCCAAAAATATACCAAGGACAACATTTACCCCCAACCGGCCCTCATTCCTCCTCGACTTCAACTGATTAAATCTGATTCTTTACATTAATATATATTTTTATAAATATATATAGATATATATATGGCCCTTATTGAAGAAAACATGAGTTTCACATTGACACGAAAGTACCGTAATCTCTATATAGCCAAGTAGAAAGTGTTTTCAGTGCTCAAGTGAGCTGGCAGCAGTCTGTTTATGTCACACTCATTCAACAAGTAATAAAACAGAAGAAAAATCCTCTTTGAAGCCGCTAGACTTCTGAAAAGAGTGCTCACTGCACCCGTAGGCTTTTCCACTTTTTCCTGAGTAATTCTTTCAACCTTGTAACAGAAAATGTTTTTTTTTTGTTTTCTTTTTTTTTTTTTTTTTTTGCTATTTCGATTCTGGGCTATTCCCTGCCATCGTGGTTGTTTTCATTACTGTTTCACACCTGTGAAGTTGATTGCTCAAACACTTCAGCTCCTTGGAAAAGAAACATCTCTGGTGCTACCATGGACTGTATCTAGAATGGACGCCATCTGCCTCCTTGCTGGGTGAAGCCACTGCGCGAACAGCACCCTCTGGTGACCGGCTGCAGTTTTGGTTATAAATCCCACTTCCTCCAGCAATCCCTATGGAGTTGTGGACAAACTTAAGAAATTTATTACATAGAATATACATTTTCCTCCCCCCTGCTTGTGATGTTGACATGTAGTTATTGTAAGACTGGTTTGTGCTCAAGTCCTCTTTTTTCTGTGCAGTTCCATTTTCAAAAGTTATTAGGGGGTTCATGTTTTCTATGACTGACCCTTGATACAGCCTATGGGTGTACGAAGATTGTGTAGCTCACCCGAGGGATACGCTGTTTGAGCCAAGTGTCATCACAGCGACTCACCTGCTGAATGTGTACAACGCTACTGGGCAATGTTGGTTTCAGGAAGTGGAAAAAATCTCAGAAATACCGAGAGCAATTTGGCTTCAAATTCGTATAATGACGGAAGGCGGAACCAAGTTGTCCATATTATATACAGTCTATGGGTGCTACTCTAATTATAAACCGAAAGTATTTTTTTTTAATAACGCATGATGACCTAGTGTCCCTAAAATGACAAGAACGAAACAGTACGCATAAGTTAAAAAAGAAATTACAGATACTTAAAAAAAAATTTGCAGAAAGCCTTGCAGGCTCGTTGTGGGGAGAGGAGTGGGCACGACAACAGATCTTCAGGAGACGTAACAGAAAGATATCGCTTAAAATATTAAAAATAACAGTAATTACAATAATTATAATAATAGTCATAAAATAGGAGCGCTAAAAAAACAACATAAGAATATCAGCAACCAACACTGAGTATTCTCCCTCTCAGGCTCTCATCTGTAGCTTTGGCTTGTTGTAGTTTTGGAACCTGTACTTACTGGCTCATTGACATCAGATAACAAACTAGTATACCCTGAGAATTCAGACACAGGCGTCCTGTGATCCACCTCCCCGCCAGAGTCAGTGCCATAAGACAAACTGCGGCTGTCTGACTTGAACTGGGAGCCAAAGGCCTGAGCAAAGTTTTCTATCTGATAGGAAGGCTTAGAGGAGTCTAGAGAGGCTAGATCCTGCGAGGGGGCCAGAGGGTAGACCCCTGTGCCATTCTTGACTGGGGGGTGCTCTTTCTGGCTGCTCAGGTCTGATGCGCTGATTTGGTAGGAGGAAGGGGGCGTGGAGGAGTGCTGCTTCTCCATCTGCTCGCTGAGCTCCTGAGAAGGGGTGAGCTGCTGGTGAGTGGAGGCCTCCAGGCTGCTCAGGTGGAAGCCATGCTGTGGTGAGGAGCTGGTCAACATTGCAAAGTGGGACTTGGGCACAGCGGAGGGTAGTGAAGGCGAGGCCACCGACTGGCCGAACCCACACTCCAGTGGGGACGTGGTGTATATGTTCTTGTCGGCATAGAGGGGATTACCCTGATGGGAACTGTTGAAAGACCCTGAGACAGAAGTCCCGGGGCCAAGAGGGAAGCTGGCACTGTGGCTGGTGCGTTCCAAAGCCTGCAGCAAGAAGCGGGAATACTCATGCATCATGCCGGTTTTGTCTCCAGATGGGCTGGAGTTGTCGGTGCCATCGGCTGAGACGGGAGTCAACTCCACATGCTGGTCACTGATGTCAAAGTGGACATCGTGGTGTGAGCCGTCAGGTTTCTGTGTGTAGTGGTCTAAGAGGCTCTGGAGCACCTCATCTGGGATTCCTGATTTATCAAGATTCAGAGGAGGGTCATTGTCCAACACACCAGACACAACCCCCTGATTGACCGCCTGCTGGGAAGACAAGTGGCCGATGCCAACGTCAAACTCGCTGCCGGCTCCTCCCACGCCTACTTGTGCGGCTGAGTTTGTGTTGTTTGCTGCGTGAAGGTAGCGTCTTTTCTTTAGGAACTGCATGGCATCATCATAGTTACTGCTGGTGGGTCCCACTTTAACCCCATTACCCTGCATTAGACCAAGGCTGTCCATGCCCCCACTCTGCTCCATCGAGCCTACTTTGACCTGCTCCATTCCTGCCTTGTCCAGGCTTTTTCGATTAGCCTTCTTGAAAGCCATCTTTGGAGCTCGTCCATGGTGGCCTTGCTGCATGCTAGGTCCTGGCTCAGCGGAGGAAGAAACCGTTTGGTTCTCAGCGGAGAATTCATGGATGCTGTAGCCTCCCTGAACATGCGGTACCCTTACACCTCCTCCATCTCCCTGCTGCTTCTTCTTCTTGCGTTCCCCTCCCTCTCCAGGGTTTTTTGACTTTCCCCTTTTCCTCCCAGTGCTCCCAGCGTTTCCCTGAGTGATTCCATAGCTGCCATGTCCCATGTCTGCACAACCTATGTCCATCATCCCGGGATCCAGCCCCTTTTTTATGGCTTCTCCACAGGTTCGCTTGTGCTTAAGCAGTCGGTCTGTCCTTGAAAAATACTGGAGAGGACAAAAAACTCATTACTGACAGTACAAATGACAGGATTTGAATACACACTATCACTCAGCCTTCAACAGCTCACTGATGGAATCTGAGCCGTTCACTGACCTGTTGGCAGGTCTCACATCTGTACGGCTTTTCTCCACTGTGCGTCCTCTTGTGCCTCTCCATGTGATACTTCTGGATGAACCGCATGTTGCACTGGTCACAGCTGAATGGCTTCTCTCCTGACAAACAGAGAGACAGGACGGCTCAGGCTCACTTCAGGTCAAACCAGACTGTGTATATGAATGGTTGCTGTTCACTTGCTTATCACTCACCACTGTGGATTTTCTCATGTCGCTGGAGAAGATACTTCTGAATGAAACTCATGTTGCACTGGCTGCATCTAAAGGGTCTTTCACCTGAAAGTAAACCCAAGATATGCATATAGTCGACATGTCATAGCAAGAAGGTCTTTATGATGTTATCATGGACATTCGAAGGTTTTCAAAAAGTATTTGTCAAACAGATGTGAGAAAAACAGAACTTAAATAGACTTAAATAGAGCCAATGCTTCAGTCTGGAGCTGAAAATATGAAGATAAATAAAACGAGAGGGACATAGTTTATGACCACGAGCAAGCGATTCCTTTTGAAAATGAAACAGGTGTTTAATTCAACTAGGGCTGCACGATTTATCGTTTGAACATCGTCATTGCGATGTACGTGTGCACGGTACTCACATTGCGAAGCCTGCGATGTAGGAGGCGAATGAATTCATCTAATTTCAAGAGTAGCTGACTGAGATACACTGCATGTGACTCTGCATGTGCCGTGCAGTGATCCACCAATCACATTCGTTCTTTACTCAGTTGCCAATCAGACTACCCTGCCAGCCGTCAATCAAAATCAGAGGAGGAAACCTACCCCTGCACAAGGCCTACACATAAAATGAGTCACTGGTGCTGCCAGTGTTGTGCCAAGAAACACATACCCGCTGAGAATTACTTTCGGAACATTACTCATCACTGTTTAACCCCACAAATAAGAATAATATGGGTTTTAAATTGTACATTTTCGTGAACCACTCTACCATAAATGGTGCGTGTTTTGCAAGGTGTATGCAGCTCTCGGCGGGGATTCATTTCTCGGCACAACACCGGTAACAACAACGATTGCTAAATGAGCAATGAACGAGAGAAAACCACAGAAAATGAAAACTTGTTGCCAAAAAGAAAAGGAAAGTCAGTTATCAGGAATTTTTTCGGTTACAAGAAGGATGATGTTGACCAAAACACGTGTTCTGTGTTCATCTGTCGCCACAATAACGTCCCAGCGCAAAAAAAAGCAAGCTAAAAATATCTCTAAGACAGACAGAAGCCATTCTACTACCATTCACAAAAAGAGTTAAGATCACTGCAGGGTAATTGTCCACAAGACCTCAGCAGTGCAGCATAGCATTAAGTGCTATTCAGGTCATCTGGTGAAAATTCCTGTATTTTTTAATATCGCAATATATATTGCAGGGTTGAAAAAAATTGTAATGTTAGTTTTTTCCAATAATGTGCAGCCTTAAATTCAACCAAAATGAGAAGAGCTCAGTTTCACATGGTAATAAAAATTCTAATTAAGTATTACAGGAAATACTGGTAAGTGTTTAGTCCCAAGAACCGGGCACCTCAAGGCTGATTTTGAGTGTCCCAGACTCAGGGGATGTCTTCAAGTTTTAGTCCTAGATGGCTAGGACTGTGAAGCGGTAGAGTGGATGCAGCTGCTCCACGGGAAGATTGCCATTACCATTGTGAAGTGTGCATACACAGTACCTGCATCAAGAAATATGCAGTGACATGAACCATCACTTTCTTGTTTCTCTGGAACACACTATTAATATTCAACTTTTTAAAAATATCACTTCTGTGAGGCAGTCGTCTATTGTTAAAGTTCAGTCAGGGAGTCAGCTGCAGTACTGAAAGTTCTTCATAATCATACAGAGCAACGCCTGAGTCCACGGTATTGCGTCACAACTGAACTTATGTCAACATTCACTTTGTCTTTGTCCATCAATCTGTCACTTCATCTTTTCTCTGAACTATTGGAGGGACATCTTATCATTAATGTGATAAATATGTAGCTCTGTAAAGCTCTAGTTACAGTGTGTGACTAAAAAGCTCTGACATAGATGAGCCACTAAAAGTGAAAATATTACAAAACTATACCTGTGTGTATGAGGACGTGTCTGCGCAGGTGATAGGAGCTTCTGAAGGATGCAGCGCAGTGCTCACAGATGTGAGGCTTGGTTCCTGGCGACAAGCTGCCTCCATCTGCATCCAGCATCATTGATTGCTGAAGAACGAAAAAAAAAAAACACAGGGTGGTGATTTCAAAAGACACTTCACATTCAGTTGTTCATTTTGAAAATTATTTGTAGAATCAAATCTTGTCACTAAATCATCACAAGTGCTATTTTCGTTTAGGGTTGTTAATTTTCTTTGTAGTGATAAGCATCTGGTCCTGAGCATTAACTTTAATTAAGAGCACATTATAGTACTGCATCAACACACACACGTAAATATACAAACCTTTGCCTCGCTTCTCTTTTTTCTTGGTTTACCCTCCTGTCCATCACCATTTGACCTTCGACCTTTTCTCCCAGTGGGGTCTTTTCCCAACTGACTCGGCAGCTGTGAGGATGACAAAAGGAGAGAGAGTGGGCCGTGAGAGCCAGCCATGACAAGGAAATCGCTTGACTGAGGTTGAGAGCTTTTAGCCTAAAAACTATCACAGAAATAAGTTCATGTTTGCTGCTCAGGCAAACAACAAAACAGGACATTTGATAACCTCCTAATGAATGGCTTTTAAAAACACATTGTCCAAGATGCTGATCTAATGGGTGAAATAATGCCTTTTATTTATGTCCTCCTCATCTACAAAAGAGGCTTTTCACATACTGCACCTCTACACATGTAGAGACACACCAAATCTACCAAAGCAAAGTCAATGTGGGGTTGTACTTCAGCAAAAAAATACAAAGTGCCCCCAGATACTCTATTCCTGAAACTTCCTTTCTAGTTATCATGCTGAAGCTCAGTGCCATATGGAGACTGAAAGGGTGCACCTGCTGTTTTCAAAACTAACCTTAATTTAAGAGTTAAAACCAAAGGACGTTTAGCCAAAATAAACCTTTTCAAATTTCCTCTTAACCGTTTAAAAATATTTACATTTTTTTTTATAATACATGACATCATGGGAAATATTCTTAAAATGTGCATTTGCTCCCTGTTATGTGTGTGTTGTGATGAAATCCTTTTCCTAGATTGTCCTTGAGTAGACAATAAAAATATTCTGGCGCAGTAAAGACAATAATTCAGTCACGGGCCCTGGCGGCCTTGGATTCCTGGCTATTGTTAGGAGAGTGTGGCCGTGTGTATTTCTGTTTGAATGAGCACAAAAGATGTCTGAAATGAAGTGCGAGCTCAAACAAGACAGCTGTGTCCTTGTGACGTTTTCATTCACGCTGAGGCTGGATGACGTCACCGTTGAACACAGAGAGAGAAAAAAAGGAGGGGGGGGCTTTTTTATATTTTGCATCTCAAGCTGTTGGAGGATTTATGTCACCATAAATACACAAGCTCCTCCTTTGCACCCGGCCCCCCCAAGGCTCCTCCCACCCAGGCTTTTTAAATATCAGCTGCTAAACAACACAGTGAGGCTGCTTTTGAGCACAAACTAGCCTGAAACCAAGCAAGATGAAACCATCTCTCGTGTGTTTAACCTGACTTGGTTAAATTTTGCTCATCTTCTGATTCTATATGTGAACAAATGACCCAAAAAAAAGAGATGAAACAAACAAAAAAAAATGCTGGGAAGCTCTTTGGGACCCTATTTTCTTTCACGCATGTTATGAAACTGCAAACTTGGATGAAAATACATCTGCAGCTCGAGCAATGCTGTGGTGCATTTATAGATATGTTGACAGTGCAGTTATCTGTGCCTCATATAAATGGGCTAAATCAGGACATGCTGGGGGCCTGGGAGACAGAGCTCATGAGACAGCAAAATTCAGGCTTTTAGGTGAACGCCACACAGGAATCCTGGGACATTGTTTTTTTTCTGGATTGAGAAGTAGAATTAAGAACTGAGACCTCATCAACAAACTTCAAAGTTTCAGTAAAACTTTCATCTATCTGAAAAATGGGATGGAAATAAAGCATGTAATGTCCAAATATCATTCAAACATTTGTATGGCTCCAATTAAGTATTTAAACATCTGATCAAGGCCTGAATGTAACTGCTCATCATTTCACAAACAAGTTAGCGTTTCCTTGGTTGTGAAAAAAATGGCAGATGATTGCAAGATCTCACCACTAATGCCTGGAGGAAATTGAATTTTTCTTCATCAAAAAGAAATGAATTATTTTCTTAAATAATCAAATCGCTGTTAGGGCGACAAAACTGTTTAAAAGAATTAAAATTATTGTTTGTTTGTCCAAATTACAGTCAAAATAATCAGCAGCTGTGAATCTTCACACTGAGTAAGTTATGAGAAGAGCTGACTAGTGGTTTTGAAGACAATGAGCTTTGCTGAATCCTTAACTGTAAAAAAAATAATTGTGGTAACTTAGTGTCACTGCTATGTAAAGAGTCATGGTAACATCCATTCATGAGGTGGTTTCCCATCACTGGTACTTACGTTGCCCATGTTGAGGTCATGTACCAGCAGGTTCTGGTTGTTACTGACTGTCACCTCCAGCAGCTCTGTGCTCTTCCCCAGTCCACCGGGGTACACTGGCAGGCGGTAATCATGCTCAGACAGCTTCTCCTGCTTGATGCCCATGGAGTGAACATAGTCTCCCACCCCCGCGCACCCCATGCGGCCACCCTGGGTGCCTATGCTGCAGTCAGGCGAGTCACGCTCCTTCTTGAAAATCATTTCATGCTGCGGAAGGTCCTGCATGACAGAGTGGGCAGCCAGCCGGGTGAAGCTGGTCACTGGGGGGAGATGGCTGAACATAATCATGCCGGGGCCAAAATTGGAGTCCATTGCCCCGTTAGAGTGCAGGAATTCATTGCCTAGTTTGTCTTGAATGATGCTCATGGTGGATCCCAGCAGGCTTGTAGACTATGGGGTGGCAATCAGTGTCAGCCTGTGAGGAAACAGTATCAGTAAGTGTTAATACATTTATGAATGACTGTAACTAGCAATTACACTCCAAACCAAAGACATGGATTACAAGTAATGGACATATAAATACAAGTAAACAGAAAACAATCATGTAGCCAGCTCAGTCTTTAGGAATCAGTGTCACGGCCTCTGATCTCACAACTGGGTGCTTAGTCGGATTAAAACGGACGATTTGTGGGTCAACAAAGGGCCTGCAGTCTGGCACAATGACAACCAAAAACAAGTTACGCAGTGAAACCGCCACGTAAAATTATTCTCTCTGCTTGATTACGGCGAGTATGTTTTGAGCATTTTTACAGGGCAAAAAAGGTCACCGTGGCTACAACACCAGACACAACATGAGATGAGGAATGAGAGGATTGAAGTTGTGTGTTAATCTGTTTGATGGGCCTGTCTGACCCAGTCATCCTATTTGCATGAGCTTATCTGCCAATGAGAGTGCACACAGACTGCATTAGGAGGACTGTTGGTGTAATTATGTGGCTTCAAATGCATGTTTTGTAATGGCTCTGATGTTTAACTCAGATATCAGACATAGATAAGTTATTTAATATATTAATGCATATCTAATTTGAGTCACCAATTATGTTATATGAAGAATACAAACATGATGCATGCAGATATACCATAATGCTCTAATAGGTTTCATTCAAATGTATTTTATCGGCTTTCCCGAAGCGTAAACATATAGTCCATCTGATGAGTGTTTTCTGTCTGCTGCCAAATGCCTTCAGCTCTGATCTTACGTTAGCAGTAATAACCTTTTCTGCGAACACAAAGTCAACTTTACAAAAAACATATAAAGCTCTTCGCTTCGCTGTAGCTTCCTAAAAAGCGTCTAAGCCGACAAACACGTTAAAGAAGTAAGCTTTAGGTCAAAGCACATTAGTGAAAACTACAAAGCGTGTTAGCTACCTAGCTGAGCATTTGGCTAAGCAGGGGCCCTTCTTTGTGATGCAGGATCAGGCAATAATTAATATGGCCATGCAATAACAGCAGCAGATCTGCGCTGATGAACACACAACTGTGCACCTTTAAACCCCAAGCCCAGCTGGACCTGAAGGAAATCCGGACCATGATTTAACATGTAAACAAAGTTCAAGTTGCACTTAATTCAGTTTCAATCAAAGGTTGACGTTTTAGTGGTAAATAACGAGGCACATCTGCGTAAACGTAACACGACTCAGAATCTCCGAGCAGCAGGAATAATGAAGGACAGACGCTGGTTTGAGCCTGCTAAATAAAAGATCTGTATGAAGGAGACCGTCTTACATGGTTTGTTCCCATTCCTGACCGTTTTCCTCAAGTTGTTAGCTTCTTTTCCCGGACAAGAAACCGACTGTAAGTGATGGAGCGACACCACAAGCATGACCCCCATAACAAACGGCCCACACAACTCCTGCGAACAATGATGCTCCTCCGCCTAGCCCAGACAGCTAGCTGACCGAGCTAGCTAACTAGCGGTAAAGTAACGTTAGAGCGCAGCGCTTTGTTGTCTGTCCCGGACCGAGAGTTTCGCGGCCGCTCAAACACACTCCGTCCCCAAAAGCTCCACCTCAATTGATTTCCCTTACCGGTGCAGGACCATGACCCGCTGCTTTTGGCTCGCGTAGTTCACCCTCGGCCGTCCGTTTGAGTATTTAGAGCCAAAACATTGTTCTCCCGCAGCTGCTGGGTTCTTCCATCTTGACTCGGCGCAGGGCATTCTGGGTCCCGCAGGCGGACGCGTCCACAAAAGAGACTCAATAAATTAAAACCAGACATGAAAACTGCCCGATTAGCCGTCCTCTGACCAAGTTATACATTTTTTTTACATTTATTGTTTAAAAAAAAACTGTTAGCATTTCTGCACACCGGACTCTGTTATTAAAAGCAATTGTTTAGCTTCAGTGTTTGACTCACACGATGAATGAGAGTTACAACACTAATATTTGTCAAGTTCCAATCAATAACATAAAATAAAACGTGGACTACTGCACTAAATATAAAGAAAATAGCCGTTATGCACAGGTTCATGATTTCTTTCTTAAGAATTAAAAGCAATTTCTAAAACTGAAGTGCGTGAAATGGTATAAGGGTCAAGGGTTTTTCTCATGTTCCTATGGTTTACTTAAATTTAAAAAAGCTAAAATTAAAAAATAAACTCACCAATTACTTGGATATATTCTTTTTTTGAAGACCTTGTCTTCTGGATTGTATCCATTATGAGAGGATATTTAGGGATTAATGGGGAAAATGTTAATGTGGTGTAACCATAAAAGCACAGTACCAAATATTTCAACTTGTTCCAAAAAAGGAAAAAAAAAATTAGGGCCAAAGTTTTTAGCATTTCTCCTGCAATATATTACAAAAATGCATCCATTTTTTTTGTAAAAAACAACAAAATGTATTTTCAACTGATATATTATAATTAAGTAACTTTTTTATAAGTACACTTGCATACACTATAGGTGGAAATAAGTATTAAATATTTCCCCTTTTGTTGTGGTTACACCACTTGACATTTTCAAGGGAAATCCATCATTCATTTTGTAAAAAAAAAGGTTGAAATGCTATTAGAATTATATGAAACCAACAGAAATACAAAATATACACCTTTTCAAACCTAATGCAAACTTTTAAAACAATTTATTAAAACATCTTTGAATTACTCATGATGCAAATCTTTATTTGTCACTGACCCATAATTAGTGTAAAGCAAAATCACCAGAACGATGTCCACATATCAAATGTAGAAATAGCCTTCCCCCAACGGGATAAAGTAGCAAGTTTAAGCCGTATATATGTGTATATGTAGCCCAGCATATTTCCTGTCCAGCGTACATTATTTTGTTGAGAATTGCCACTATCGCTTATAGCATTCTTACAAATAGCATTATTACCTTTTAATTCCAGCCATTCATGAAAAGAGTAGAAAAAATCCTGCTCTAAATAGAAGTAGTAACTAAAAAATCTTAATGAAATGGCTGCTCACATGATCGCTCATATCACCAGAACAAAAGTCTCAAAGCAGCCATTAGAGTGCTGATGATGACAGAAGTTATAAGCTTTCAGATCTGCTGGATGAATGACTATGTATACATCTAAAGACACATCAGAGTCAGAACTGGCGCCCTGTCTCCTAATTATCTTGGCTAATGAACCAATTAATTCCGAAAGGCAAGCCCAGTTGAAATGCGGACAGTAAAGTCATGCAAAAAAAGGTCAGTGGTTGCATTTTTGATGTCCCTGCGCCTTTTATAAATCCCAGATGATAGCCCACACAGCAGACAGAGAGGTCTTTGAAATCTCTCTCATCTGGGAGTGCTTAAATATGTATGATGATGTGATGATGGCTGTCTGATGAACTAAAATGAAATTAGTGGTTAGATTTTGAGAACATGGTTTGAGGTTAATGAAGTTCATCCTCTTACAGCTTGAATGTAACCAAGAGACAAATTAAGACACAGTTCTGAGTAGTTTATATCTTCTATCAGGTGTAAGGCTAGAACAATAAACGCTTAATTGACAAATGAAACCGGTTTTTATTTGAGGAACAATTATGATGGTTATGTATTCTTGTTAAAAGATATTTTAACATCTTTGGAGAAGGTATAAGCAGGATTGATCAGGCAGGCACAATCTAGTATTTACAAGCTGACATAGCTGGGTGCATGATATGAACTTCTGGGGAAGCAGGGTCTGAGTTCACCTTTAGATAATTGCTCTGGCTTTCTAGAAATTAACATAGTTATTTGGCTTAAACCTGAAAAATGTCCCATCCCAAGGAAAGGACACCCTGTAAGTTTTATTTCAGTGTCCGGATCAAGGTGTTACTCACTTATCTCAGCGAAGGTTAAGAGATGTCAGTGTAGGGCTCAACTTTCCACCTGTCCTATACCATTAGACTGCGTTAGCTGTAAAGGTCAGAGACACTATTACCCCTTAGGTTCTATGCCTTTGACTCTGAATAGAGAAATCAGCCCTTCTCACGGTGATAGAGAAGCAGATATGCCAGTTCGCAACACATGCAGGCAGAATGCAAACATTAAAAAACAGTCCAATAATCTTAAATCTGCAATCTGTGGCAATTCGTGCATCATATGAAACTGAGGGTTATCAATCCGAACGCCTCATCAATAATTCAGCCTGTGCAGCACGTCTTTGTTCTCTCTGCCTCCTCCCCTGAATACATCTGAACACACACAGAAACGCATAGATTATTAGGATTTGAAAGTCACATATCTTTTGTCGTCCAAAAAAGGACACACGGATATTCTGAGCAGGGTTCACTGATTTCCAGTGTTGTGCTCATTTGGATCCCTCTCCCTGGGAGAGCCTGTTGTCGACACACAACAGATGGCAGTCCTGGCTTTCTACACTCTAATCCTCGATTGTTAGGAGGATCACAGCTATATAAAAGTTCCCTCCCCTGACAAAGGAGACCCTCGTAAGTTATTAAAAACCTATGCGAAGGTGAGACTTGTATTTAGAAGGGGATAAAGATTAGGTGCAATTATAGTGGATATTAAGTTAAGCATACTACACATCAGAAATTTACTCAACACCTTTCCTGACTAGACTGTATGAGAAATCACCACATTACAGTCGCCTGAAAGGAAAAGTGACTACTTTAGACATCACAATTCCTCTATAACAGACCAAGCAAAGTCTGATCTGTGAAGTACTTTCATACTAAAGCGACTCACAATACTAAACGAAGAATTAGGCTTAAATGTTTGGATGAAAATGTAACAATATATTATGAGTTTGCCTTCTTTTAAACACCCGTACATTCAGCTAAGAGTGAAACAAGGAGCTGTCATTATTATGAGTATGTAAACAGTAATATGCTGTTTACACTTTGTTATGCTAGCATGTGTCTCTTGCAAACACTTGAACTAACCTTTTTGAAAAAGAGGGAGATGAAGGAGGTCATGCATTTACAAGTTTTTACTTTAGATCCACAGAATAAATTTGATGGACATTTGAAGAGGTTGCGCAAAAACAAACAAACTGTTTCTTATTAGTAGGACCAGTTTGTGCATACTGCAATAGTTTCTCTCTGTACAACTGCATGGGCCCAAGCCAAACCAACAACCATCACACCCTTAAGGTCACTATGCTAACAGGCAGAAACTGACAGATGGCATCACTGTCTCATTCTACAGAAATATGATCAATTCAGTTTTGACAGTTTTGTTTTTTGTTAACTTTTTATTCATAAAATGAATTTTTTAGAGTGTGAATAACCTTGCACCAGAAATGTTCAGTCAACTGGTAAATAAACAAAGCTGTAAAATCAGAACTAGAGGTGCAGTAAGTGGAAACTGTTGGGCAGCAAAGCTAAGAACAACATTCAGTCAATAATCTTTCTCAGTAAGAGGAATAAAACTATGAATCCATCACCATCTGAAACAAAGACAAGGACAGAAGTGAAGGTTTTAACCCTTTAATGCCTGACACCAAAAATTATGGCCAGCAAATTCAAATTTTCGGAGCTGAAATGTTTATTTCACTTACTACTGAAAACCAAAAAAATCTAAATGTCCTTAAAATTTAACAAATATATTCATTTATCTCGTTTTACACATTAGATGTTTTTGGAAAACTGATAAACTACAAGAGGACATTTTGATCATTTATCGGACTGTATTCAGGTGTGGGTTTTTTAGTAGTTAGCTGATCATATTGATTTGATAGAAATATATAGAAGTATGTATCAAATACTATACAAAAGGCATTAAAGGGTTAAACACGAAAAAAACGGTCTAGATTCATAGATCACACACAAACATATACAGCACATGTGCAACTTACATGTACTTAAAAATGTGCTCATCGTGTTGTTGTTTTTCTCTGGACTAAAGGTCCTTACACACCAGGAACGATGCAAATATACGACACAAAATTACGAAATATTTGGAGGCGAATTTTGACAGTCTGACTATATATATCAAGCGCAATGCGATTTTGCGTCCCTGATGTGAACATTTGTATTGAGAGTATACAGGTTCGGAAAAAAATATTGATGTCCAAAATAATCGAACGAAAAAAAATGCTCCCGGTGCGAAAGGACCTTAACTCTGGTCTCCATCTTTGCTAAAGTCCCCCTGCAGATGAGCTGCAGTTAGGGGCCTGTATGTAAAATTAATAAAGGGTCAAATACACACGTAACACCGAGTTGGACACCCCCTCAAGAGATGAATGTTGCCGACCACTTGCTTCTCTAGTTATACCAACTTTAGTAATGACCGTATGATAGCAATACACAGTGGTCTGTGGAGCCACACACTCGACCATAAAGCCACTCTATAGCCACAAATAATGCTTAGATCAGCACCTAACTTTATCAACAGTACATATAGGGGCCTAGCCATAGTACTAGCCACCAAACATCTTTTTAACTTTGCCTAATTTTTTTTAGCAAAGAGACTAACCACAACTCGCCTACTCTCTTCCAGCAGCCGCTTGATTGCAACGAGACCTCAGGCCAGTCCGTTACGGACTGCTGCGGGGTGACGCAGCTCAAGGAAGAACATTTATGATTTTTCTAAATCAATCTTCTATTTTTTCTAAATCAATTTATGTCAGAATATCCCTTTAATTAAGTGTTATGGATATCTACTATTTAATGATGAAAAAAATTCTTTGAGTGTGTTCGATAATTAATCACAACTTTTTGTATTCTACATTTATTTTTCACAGCCAGCTGCACTTCATGAAATTGTGCCTTTTTTTAATCAATCAATCAAATTTTATTTATATAGCCCCAATTCACAACAGTCATTATCCCAAGACACTTTCCAAAAAACAGAGCAGGTCTAGACCACACTCATTGTTTGATGAAGACCCAACCTTAAGATTGGACAGATTTGACCCATCTCATCTAACATGAGTAACCATGGCAAGGAAGAATTTCCTTTTAACGGGCAGAAACCTAGAGTAGGACCAGACTCATGTTAGACAGTTTGGGCTCTATTTTCGTGCCTCGCCGGAGACATGCCGCAGGCGCGGCGTAAGTCAGGTCCGCCGCGCCGACAAGGCGTTCCCAAGCACAATTTGGTATTTTGGTGAGCAGCGCAGCCCGGCGTAAGTATCCCCCCTCCCTAACTCAGCTCCTCCCAGCGGCGTAAGTCGTAGCGAGGGAGGAGAAAGGGCGTGGAGTGGGTTTAACACAGCCGAGACCTGTTTTCACCAATCACATAAGCTCCTCTCCTTGCCTTTAAATCCGCCACAGGCGAGGCGTATTACTATTATCATGAAGTAGTCGAAGAGATCAAGAGATGTCTGAAGACAGTAATGCCACACGATGGCGACAGAGGGCAGCTCCTCAACAAGTGTCACTTTAAGCGCTGCATTGGGCGTCCTCCACACTCTCTCATCTGAGCACAGATGGATTTGGTGTGTGTAATGTTGGACCCACTGGTAAGACAAACACCCTTTTCCACAAATAAAGACACTCACATAAAGTTGCATATATTCAAACCTCACGTGACAAAGGTGGGTTGAGCGCACAGATCACAACATAAACTCCTAAAATGGCATTAAAATTGGAAGCACCTGTGCGTAAATGACGCATCGCGCTCCGTGGCCTGGCTCTTTCTTTCATAGATGTTGGCATATAAAATAAATTTGGCTTACAAAACTGAATATTATAATATCCGTATGTCGGCTTAAAGTAAATAACTCATCTGAGCACTGAAACAAATCATCTGTTCAGCCGCTGCAGGACGGGGAGAGGACACGGAGACGTGTCCAGGTCGAGCTGCGCGAGAAATAAGAGGAAGAGGAAGAAAAAAAAGGAGGGAGACGAATTACATATCTTGTTCACTTCATCATGTGTGTTTATTTACTAGATATTTAATTTAATTTGATGCGGTTTCAGCTGTGTTGATTCGGTCAGGTTGTGTGTCCAAACGCGTGCCAAACGCGCTCATCAGATCAGATATAGATCAGAATATATCTATATAGATCTAAATGTATGTGCTGACTCAGATTAATAGTTGATGATGATTATTTATTGCACTGAAATGTGCCTGACACTGTGGAAACCTGCTGGTGAGGCATCAGTGACGTATGCCGATACGCCGCCGGTCTACCAAAATACTACTAGACCAGCTGCGCTCCGCCTGCGCTGAAAGCTGACCAGGTTTGAATCGGCGAGCTTTCAGCGCACTTTACACGCCACTGGCGAGCACGAAAATGTCACTGCACCCGCTGATTCTGACCTCGGCTCGCCTCTGTGCGCCTCAGTCCACGAAAATACCAAACTGGCTGTACGCCGGGCTCCGCCGGATGAAAATACAACTGCGCGGGCTCCGCCACCCTCCGTCGCCTCACCAGTGTGCACGAAAATAGAGCCCTTTGAATTCAAATGTATCAGACCATCTGCACTTCAAGGTTAAAGGCCAGCTGTCTTCAGCTTTTTTTCCCGCAAATGTGTATACAGTATCTAATATCAATCATTATAAAATGACTATAGTCTTTTTTATAAGCATTTTTTTTAAATCATGGTTTCATTATTATCATATTATTAAAATGATATATATTTCATAGTCTTATGTCATAAGTTAAGCCTCTCAGAAGAATGGTTTAACAATGAATAAAGGTATTTACTGTTTATAACCAATAATGAGTTTCAAGACACCTTTTCTAATCATTTTCAGATAAACGCTTTAATGCAGATTTTCCTTCAAACAAATATTAGATCAGATATTTACAATCTGGAGACCATATTATCCTTGAAAAAGGTTTATCATCATGCAGCCCAGATTGAGAGGGTTCAGCTCTTGCTCAGTCTTAACGTCTAAAGCGATCCAGTGAAACGTTATACAATCCAAGAGTGAATCTTGTTTACATCTTAAGGAAAAGTCTTGAGGTCTATCGATAACTGCTCCTCTTTCTCATCCTGTTTGTGCAAAGCTGCTGTCTCTCTGGGGAAAATCCTCCTCTGAAGGTATTGCAAGGTAAGGTAGTTATCCAGATCACTGCCAGTATTTTCTTTCCTGCTGGTTTTAAGACAACTCCAATGTTACCATTCATCAAATCCCCTGAGGCTTTGCATCTTGTGACGTTTAAGGTCATGAAAGATGTTTGAATACTGGATTAACAGCACTGAACTAGATCGAAAAGATTGGTCCACATACTGTACATCTCAGCTCATCTGCATTGCAGAAAATAAACCTCTTTACTATAGGACATTAAGCAGGACTGTTGCATCTGACTGCATTAATTTTAACTAGGTGTACCCAATTAACTGGAAATGAATGCATGTTGCTTTATTAGAGCAAGCACGGTTCTACTAATTCAATGAATGTTCATGCAAGATTTATGAACACTCATTAATATTCACTGGACGTCTAAGTTTACAGCTGAAACACTGTTTAAAATCTGTACCATTGGAGCTGCGTCTTTTAACCCCTGATCTCTAAAAAGGTACTATTTTGCTAAAACTGTGATCAGGACCTGTTGCTCTGTTATATTTTATCTTGTGTGTTGCCTTTTCAAAACAGCAAATACACAAGCTGCTCAAAAATGGACACCTTTGCACGCAGAGATTCAACTCGTTACATATTCATGAGGTGCTTTAAGTACTTTGAAGGAGTATCTTAAGGGTATGTCAGTGAGATTAGGATGAAATAAGCAGTTTTTTTCTGATGCAGTGGCTTTTCCTCTCATTTTTCACTTTATTGTTACACATGAAATCCTCCCCAGTACCCACACATAATGAAATAAGGACAACAAAAGGCTCTTTTTTTTTCTTTTCTTTTTTTTTTATAACATGTGCTTGTTACTTTACAAACACGTAAAATAATAGAAGCACTTATGCAAAGCAGATGTGTCTTCCTCTGCCTGATTTAATGAAGGGCAGGAGAGATGCAAGGGCAAAGCATCCCTTTTTAGGACAGTCCTCTGAGAGTGCAAGCAGTCCAGGAAATCCTCAAATGGAGTCGCCATCAGATGTCTAAATCAATAAGATGGCTCTGCAGGAAAGGGGAGACGATAAGATTTAACCTTAGAGCTAAATTAGGAGAGACCTTTACACAGTTTTAAAATGTGATCATCTGACGTACAGGAGAGATGTACAAAATATTTAAACAATATTTTAACATGCAAATACACTCTGCATACTTTCCAATGTTTTTTAGTCAGCAGGGTGTCATTGTCTTAATTAAATATGCATAGCAATTTGGTGAAGTTCTACATGGGTGCAAAAAATATGATGAATTATCTAAAATTCAACAATTTCGAGTCTGTCATATAGGTGGTAGATCAAATGTGCACATAGGTCGTTTCTCCAGTAGATGGCGCAGTTTAACTTGTGATCCTTCAACCTCATGATTTGGATCTCTGAGTGCCTCTTCAATCTCACAGAGAATCATCAACAATATACAGAAAATGTGAGTAATTAAATTCATACATCCATTAAGTCTCATACTGATTTAATCAACCAAATTACGCAGAGGCGTCCAGCTGGCCATCCCTCTCATCCTCTTTACACACAAACGCAGTCTTGTGTAATTCCCACCTCCTCTCTCCCTGCCTCCTTCCTTCCCTTCCTCTTGACACACACACACACACACACACACACACACACACACACACACACACACACACACACACACACACACACACACACACCAGGAGCTATGAATGGGTAGTCAGCTCCTCGTATTTCGCTCCGCTGGTGAGTACCACGCCAGTCAGAGTGGAGACTGAGCCGAGCGCACAGCTACAGTCAGTGACCTGCTCCTTCCACGAGAAATAACTAAAACTATAATTTTATTTTTTGATATCTACGTTGAGAAAACACTGCTGAAAATCTCTGACAATCAGTGATTTATAGCTTGTTTTCCTCTGAGGATTTACTTTGCGCGCAAAGTCACCATGGCGCATTTTACGCACTGCAGGTAACCAGCAACTTGGAGGCTCAAACAACCAAAAACATGGATTAAACTGCAACCAACTACCCCCCTACCCCAGAAGAGCTGAAATGGCGGCACTTCGCAGGAAATTTGGAGAAGACTACCAGGTGGTCAACACAAACCGGGCCACCACTTTCTCCGCTCCGGTAAAGAAGAAACGCCAGCGCTTTGTGGACAAGAACGGTCGCTGTAATGTCCAGCACGGGAACCTGGGAGGAGAGACCAGCAGGTACCTCTCTGACCTCTTCACCACTTTGGTAGACCTAAAGTGGAGATGGAACCTGCTCATCTTCATCTTAACTTACACGATCGCGTGGCTGGTCATGGCATCAATGTGGTGGATCATCGCGTACATAAGAGGAGATCTAAATCACGGCCACGACTCGTCCTACACTCCCTGCGTGGCAAATGTTTACAACTTCCCCTCAGCTTTTCTGTTCTTCATCGAAACCGAGGCCACCATCGGCTACGGTTACCGGTACATTACAGAGAAGTGTCCAGAGGGGATCATCCTCTTCTTGTTCCAGTCTCTGCTGGGCTCTATAGTGGACGCTTTCCTCATCGGCTGCATGTTCATTAAAATGTCCCAGCCGAAGAAACGCGCAGAGACGCTCATGTTCAGTCAGGACGCGGTGATTTCACAGAGAGACGGGAAACTGTGCCTCATGTTCCGCGTGGGAAACCTGAGGAACAGCCACATGGTTTCCGCGCAGATCAGGTGCAAACTCATAAAGGTAAGATTTGGTATCCCTGAAAACGGAGAAAAGAAACGAACAGCATTTATGATCATAAGATCATATAAATACTTAGTGTACCTGATTTAACTTCAATCTTTAATCCATAAGTTGATTTTTAGTCATTCCCTCTTTTGAGATTTGCCTTTTTACCTTTCCCAAACGTTTTTCCAAGCACTTTGCAACACTGGCAAGGAAAACTTTCACTGAAACCTCAAGCACAACCAGACTCAATGGTTCTCAGCCATCTGCCATGACCAAATGAGCCAATAAAGTCCGGTTTTTACTCCTCTTTTATTTGAGGGCACCATTTTCTTTTAAAGACTTGTAGGATTTAACTGTAGCTCAACATGAATTGTGAAATCTTAAAAGAAAAGTTAAATATATATTTTCGCCACAGTGGCTGCGCTCTCAATTGACAGACAGTATTTTGAGGATCTCTAATTTCCTCTCATCTAAACTTTTTAGGGGAAAGAAAACAGTTGCATGAAATATACCAACAGTAAGGGTTAACCTTTCTCCCACAAAGCTGAACCGCATCAGTTTGATCCACACAATACACACCTTGTTAAACAAAACTGGCTCATAGTAGCATTACTATAATCCTGCAGCTGCAGGATGAGAGAAAGCCAGGTGCATCGCAGAAACACAGAGATAAGAGAGCAGGCTGCAGTGTGGATGGTCCACAGTGTGTGTGGTGTCAATTCCTCTTCAGCTAAAGACACCTGCACAGACAGATGTGTGTCAGTAAGTGGATGTGACAGAGATAAAAGGGCCCTGAAGAGGAGAGTGGGTGAGTTAGACACTCGCAGATCAGACAAGTCAGTGAAACAGCTCTGAAGACATGAACCAGTGCTGTTAACTTTAATGAGCAAGTTCATTATTTGGTTTCTTCCTCTTCTATAGGATGTTTTCTACACGCCAGGGGTTCAACACCATTTGAACTCCATAATGAAAAGCAAAAAGTTCACAGTGTTAGCCATTATGTCCTGGGTTTGAATTCCTTTCACCACTAATGAAGAACTCAGCACATTTTGGTGAGAAAGGCTAATGAACCCCTCACTCTGAAAATAACCAACAGCCCAGAAAATGACCACAAACAGCAGCAGGCTCCACTAGCCTCTGCTTTAATTATCATAATAGAGCTTCGTTCAGCCACATCCATGTTCAATGTGCAAAATGGCCCATAAAGAAGACAAACAGCACTGGTGCGGGGAGCTTGTTTCTGTCTGTGCTCTCCTCTGTGCAGCCCAGCGTCGCACAGCTTAATGATGCTTGCAGGCGGTGGAAGAGGAGAGGAGAGGGAAGGCAGGGGGCTATTCCATGGTTACAAGCGTGGAGGGAGTGAGCATTCACCATAAAGTACAATCACACCTCTCTGGTGTGAATTTCAGCTCATCAGCACAACTGGAGCTCAGAATATTCAGACTTCAAATGTGTTCAAGCTTACAGGGAAGATATTTCAAAGCAATGGCACCAAGAACTGGAGGGAAAAATAAGACAGATCTGCGTTATTTCCATCACACTGCAAAATAATTGAAGCTCTAAGAATCTTTACTGTGCTGAGTGGTTCTGCGTGTGCCTTTACTTCTTGGAAATATAATCAGTATTGTGCTCAATACCTCTCTGCCAATCCCATATCATTTTTACACCACCTCTGTCTGTGTAATACAATAAATGCAGCATCCACTGTGTGCCCCTGCTTTTTTTTCCTCTTTTGCTTCAGGGCTTTGTGGTCTAACCTTATTCTTTCGCTTCAAAGACTCCTTACCGTGACACCGTTTTTGCAGCACTCTGCCACAGCACAGAACACACAGACTCAGAAAATGATAGAAGTATGTGAACTTAAGTGCATGAAAAAAAACAAAAAACAATTAGGCTTATTAAACTTAAGATGTGACACACTACATATACTGCTTAAACCATTTTTCAGTCTGAATGTTGCAATGCCTGTACAGAAATGTTGGTGGTGCTGTTGAACTGCAACCCTCTTCAACTTATGCCTTGACATTTAAAATAGTCGGGCATCACCGGCAGATGATTCAGAGTTTGTGTAAAGGTTTTTTCTGCCTTTTTTAAGAGAGTAAATGAACAGCTCTGACATCCAACTGAACCAGGTGCTCTCAAATTATCCATCAAATCAAAACAAATCTGTTCAATCATTGGCCATACTTCCAGAAAGTACTGATTATATAAGTCTTCCCCAAAAAAACTTTTTCCTTACTTTCATGTAAAACTTTGAATCGTACCCATGAGCTGAGTACCTACTAAGACTGATCTAAACCATGTTTCATGAATCCACTGAAGTATAGTTTGCATCAGTCCATCATGTAATCAAAGTTAAAAGCTTTTATCTCTCTTGAGAACTTGAAGCTCAAAGCACATCAGTTGATTCAAATACATACAGTAGCTTTGATTGGCTGATTATTGTCTCTTTAAGTAACTGAAAGAGTTTTCTTACATATATGAAATACCCTGAAATTCACACTAATGCTGTTTCATTTTATCTAATAGTCTGGATTTAAGCTTGTGACGGAAAAGATAAAGAGATTGTTTTGTTCATAGGGCAGCTAAAATTAGCATAAACTGAGGTCCTCACAGGAGCTTTAAGTGGTCCATGTGAACCATCAGAGAACCTGTGGCTTCAGTGATACCATGGATAATTAAGAAGCTTTTATCTGAGGTGTTCATCTTCTATTTGAAGTACTTTGTATTTGAATGTAAAAATAAGGAGCATAAATGTGCTGAATAGTCTTTACTCCTTCAGATAAAATGTTCTTCTTTGTTTCTTGGTGGCTCATGAGGTACAAGAGCCACCCAAATAATGCTCCGGTCCACCAGCCCCCTCCAGCAGACTTGCGGCAGACCTTTCACACATGAACCCTTGATGGTTCCCAGACCTGGGGGTGCTGACATTCTCCAGACTTTCTCTTTTACACACGTCCCCTCTACAGCAGAGGATTAGATAGAGTCTAACTCATTTTGACAAGAGGAGGGTTTTTTTCTTCATCATCAGTGACTGTACCTATGTGAATATTACTAAAGCATGTTTCAGCAATGCAAACACAAAAGTGGAAATCAAAGGCAAATGAGGAATGCAGTTAAGAGTATAAAGCAGTGAAACTTTGAATAGCTGTGTTTACATGGGCACAAAAAAATCGGAATAAATGAAAAAATGCGTCATGTAAGCATGATGATCGGAAAATTCTGATCCAATTCGGCTCAATCGGAAAAAAATTGTGTCAAAATCATTATTCTGAAACGCGTCCATGTAAAGTTTCTAACCTGACTCGGTCTACACTCTTTGCTTATTGAGGCCAGCACATGAGGTTTCATTTTTAACACTCTGGCATAAAACACAACAGCAGGTGCCGTGTCTGCTCCTCCGGTAACATAACAAGACGTACATACAGTGCAATGATGTCACATCGACAGTGCAAACTTTGACAGAACAGTAAAATAAGTAAGCAAGGGCGCCATCTAGTGACAACATTTAACAGGGGGGAAATCCTGAATTGGATGAAGTGAGTCACTACCGCGTTTGTTGGTTTGTTGACAGCATGGGCGTAAATACAACTCTTCTTCTGCAACTGTTTTAGTGAAATTAGACATCTCTGCATGTCCAAATGCTTCTAATCTGGTGCATATTTACACACGTCATGATCGGATTATTTGATTTTGCGCCTATACAAACAGTGGATTCAGATTTTCCGATCCCTCAAATTTTTTTATCAGATCAAGAAATTTTGCCCATGTATAAATGGCTAATGATGCCAAGAACACAGACTTGCTTATGCAGACTTTGAACTGAGGGGTTTGCAAGAAGCTGAGAGTGTAATAGGTGTGTGAAAAGGCTTTACAAAGGGTGCAGTTTCTTCACTGGACTTCACTGACAACACAAACTGTGGTCACTTACCCAACAATCCAGAAATCTCAGTTCAAAAAGTACTCACCTGTCTAATAGCAGCTCACATTCCCAAGCTGTTTTACATCCTGTCAAACAGTGAACACACCACCCGTGTGTGCTGAGCTCAAACCAAGTCAAGCAACTGGACATTGGAGTTCAACTTTTCAGTGTGTGTAAAGGGGTGAGGTTTGATTGTTGACGTCTGTTTTCAGAGAGCAAAAGTTATGTAACCTCAGTGTTTCGTACAGGTCTTGCCCTAGAGGCTAAATGATGTCCTTTTCAAATGCTATAAATCAAAATTCTGAGTAAATGTTGACTTACCTTCTTTAGTTCAAATAAAATGGACAATAGTGCTGAATCTGGATTCACTGCTGATAATGGAACCGCTTAAACTGGAACGACTTGTTGCCCAGCTGTGTTTGGACCATTATGTTGGTGCGCCAGAGCCCTGCTTAACTGTCATGCATGATCACTGGTTGACAGCAGACAGCATGAAGAAGGGAGAGATAGACCAATGGGAGCTGTCAGAAAGAGTCCAAACCAAGATGAGATGAAATGCAGCTTTGCAGGGCATCCATGACAGCCTCAGAGGGCACCCTGGTGGAACATCCATGCTGAAAATATGGCTCTGGTCTTACTGGGAGAGTGGACGGATGGTGAGAGAGTGGAGAAATTGATTGAAAGCGATGGCAGGGGGAAAGCTGGAGAGACTTAAAAGAAACTACTAACAGGTTTTAAAAATATTTTCATTGTATGAGCAGTGCCTTCTATTTCAGAGACTAACAAGGGAGTGAAATCCCCCTCACTGTATATCCCCTCCGAGGATTGCCACATACACCATTCACTGAAGCCAGGATTGATTTCCATTTCTTTTCTGATAAGAATAGTGATGCAATTATACTATCGGGTTGTGGAGGGCTGGAGAGAGGCATAAAACCCTGAAGTCATTTGCAAACCAGAGAGTGAGAAACCATGGCACTCTGGACTGCATACGTTCCTGCCTTCACAGATGAGAATACATGAGAATACGTCAGAGGATTCAAAACAAAGACATGCAGACTCAGACTTTCCACTCATGGCTTCTATCTGAGGCGTCTGTACTTTAAGCATTTCTATTCTTTATGAACTTTTCTTCTTCAGGCTCTTTACAATCAATGTACAGCCCTGTTAGTGTTCTCCACTCTCAGGCAGAAATCAAAGGCAGCACAGTGACAACAAAACACGTCTTTCGCCAAGAACATTGTGACACTGTCTCTGCCTAAGTCTCTGAGTGTCACATAGAGGATTAACATGAGGAGAAACACAGCATAAGACGCAGGAAGTAGATTTTCAGCAGGAGCCTCCAGTCACTTTTATCCTGGTTTCACTCACCTGATAACTACACAAGCCTGTCTAATTTTTAATATGAGTGCAGCTTAAGCATCCGGAGTCACCTTATCAGTACTGCTTCAGAGGACTCTTTGGTACATTCACGAGATAAATCTGGCAACTTTTCAATTGTGATGAACCATCTTGATATGTTTTTTTTTCTTTTTTCTGAGCATCTAAAGAAACATTCAGATGTCCTCCTGAGGCAAACCTTTGACAAATAAAGTAAGAAAGACGGCATCATGGAGGAGCTCTTGAGATCCAGTTTAGTGCTTCTGCTCAGCCCTGCTTCCACTTTAGACAAAGATTTCAGGGTAAAATCCCTCAAAAGAATGCCAGTATGCCATCACCTATTGACTCCCTGTCCTTTCTCAAGCTCAGTGATGGCAGTCGCAACATAAAAATACTACGTTTGAGCAGCTTCATAGACCTTAACCTTAATTTTGTACCAGGCTGTAAACACTGTTGTTCTTGCTGTAAAAATGGGCATTTCAAACTGGGTGCCAGTGGGACTGCTTCAGGCCATAGACTGTATATAGATTGAACACCGTCTGCCTCCTCACTTGGTGAAGCCACCACAAGAACAGCACCCTCTGGTGATGGGCTGCAGTATAGGTCATAAATCCCACCTCCTCCAGCAATCCCTATGGGACTGTGGACAAACTTAAGAAATTTATTACACAGAAAATCCCCCCCCCCCTTTGTGCTCAAGTTTCTGTACAGCTCCATTTTTAAATGTTATTAGGGGGTTCATGTTTTCTATGATTGACACTTGATACAGCCTACGGGCGTACACAGATTGTGCAGCTCACCCGGGCATAAGCTGTTTGAGCAGATTGTCATCACAGCGACTCACGGCAACTCGCCTGCCGAATGTGTACAATGCAACTGCACAAGTAGTGGTTTCAGGAAGTGGAGAAAATCTCAGAAATACAGAGAGCATTTCAGCTTCAAAATCTTAAAAATGGCGTCCATAGTATATATAGTCTATACTTCAGGCTTTTGGGGCCCCCTCTAGTGGACACGCGATGAACTGCAGTTATTTTCTTTTTATTTTTTGTACTTCTGCAGCAGCTTACAATTTCAAGCTGCCCTGTGAACGCATTAATGAATGTCATCAGCTCGGTGCATGCTCCAGAAAAAAGGTTGTACCCAGAACATTTTGGGGGCTGGCATTTCCTGTGAGGGCATCATGAGTGTAGATGAGAGACTATGAATCAATGGCAGATATAACCAAAGCTTCTTCATGAATAGAAAATATTAGTGATTTAAGTACAAGCTATGATGATGGTTTAGATAGCTTTGCACTCAAATCGATGTAAACTGCAAATGTTACTGTGTCTATTAGGTAAAGTTGTATGGATAAACTGTTGTAAGTTGGAATATTAAATTTAGAGAGTAGCGTAGAGGATGGACTTGTAGTTTACAGAAGTCAAAGTTCCCACCCACTTACTGGTGAAAGTTAGTGTTGATTTTCTCATTGTGGTTACTTCTGGTTAAACGTTTTCTAAACATTTGTCACAATTATTAGCTTAATGAGTTTTAATTTAGGAGTGCCAGAGATCTAAAAAAGTGATCAGTTGTTAAAAGCTGGACAAACTATAATGCAGACCTTGATCATGTTTATAAACACCTATCTTAGGGTGACCATAATTTAATAACCGAAAACCAGGACAAAAACCAATACTCAGCTTGGCAATGAGATATTCTATAACTTTAGTTTTCTTCTTCATCCTAAAAAACAATGAAAACTCTGACATTTTCATCACTTAATAGAAAACAACCAGGAGGGCCAGGACAGAATGTAAAAACAGGACGTGTCCTGGGAAAACACCCTATAGCATATCTCATTAAGACCTTAAGAAAGAAGGTTTATCTTCATCAAGATGAGTAAATCTGGAAAACCCTCCTCTCTCATTTTGATTAAATCCTTTTTTGTGGCATTTTTGTACACCCAGAAAAGATATTTTAGCTATTCTTACCAGATAAATTGGCAAATGCAGGTCCTAATGATTCATGGGAACTGAGCTGCTGGATCAGCACCAATGGAGAGCTTTGTTGTATTGAAATGAGGAGGACTTTCTAATTTGTAACAACTCATTTTAAATATTGGTGGGGCCAGTTGCAACACAGAAGTGATGTTTTTCTGCCCTTAAATTGTACCAGGACATTCAATTCTGCACATCTGGTTCAGCAGGCAGCTTTGATGAGCTGCTTTCGAATGCCTCCTTTATAACAATTAAACAAGAAACATTTTAATTGTATCAGCTTATTCATGAATTGGCTGTATTAAACACTGTGTGGGCGATTGTGAAGCAAAACTGAGGAACACAGCTGAGTTTTAACAGGCTGTGACGGAGTAAACAAGCTGTGTATTTCCCATTTCTTACCAGATGTTGGCTGCGACGCACAGTGGGTTTCTCTCCACCAAAAGAATTGATTAAAATGGAAAAACAAGGGCAGATTCTTTTTGACATCTTCTGAACTGTTTATCCTTTTTGAATGTTTTGAACTCCAATAACCAGTTCATTATCTCTATTACTTTTTTTAGAAGGACAGCAGACAAAAGGCAAAATGTGCTGAAAATGGGGATGACATGCAGCAAGGGGTCGAAGATCAGGATTAAATCAAGGCTGTAATGATTTGTAATGAGGCGTAGAACATTATGCTCCACCAGGTGAAGACCCCTTGTTTGATAATAAATGTCATAATAAAGTAATACCAATAATACCTTCCATTCAGTTTCATTTATGCTCCTCGAGGCAAGTTTGTTTAGCACAATTCATACACAAGGCAATTCAAAGATGCAAGGAAATACAGAAAAAAAAATGGTTTAAAATCAGTAGGACAACAGATTTTTTTTTTTCGTCTGTTCTGTGTTTGCCCTAAACACCATGGAAACCATTGTTTCTTTGAAAAACCAAATAGGTCACAAGCTTTCAGACCTGGGGCTTCCCAGATGGCAAATAGTTTTCTCTTTGTCTATCTCGGACAGTATTATCCCCAATTCCCACTGCATCCAGAATGGCTGCGAAAAGGTTGTATGCGCCAATCGCAGCTGATCATTTCCATTCAAGTTAATGCGTCAATTTCCATCAGCTTCTTTCCGTTTCGCTGCTGTTCAGCAGAGTCCACGCTGATCGCAAGAGTTGTTCTTTTTTTCCGGACGCCGCAGCATGCAGCGTAAATTTAGCATAGATTACCCTGTGCTGGAAAGGAAGTCGGACACAGAGACAAAATAAAACATCCCGCTTCTTAAAAAAAAAAAAAACACTACGTGCTTCGGGCGGATTGTATTTCAGACCATGCAAACGGGTGAGGACAAATAGGTCAAAGGTTTTCAGACAGCATTTAATCCCGATGACACCATGGATGAGGAGATGCTGAGTCTAGAAGTCTAGAAGTGGATTTCCTCCTCTGGAAGGACACAACTACTACTACTGTCTACTGTTTATATGGTTATGTGGCTGTCTTTATAGAGACAACTCGTTATCGTGTGATTGCATGTAAATCCACAGGTTCTTGTGAGGTCTCGCAATTCCTGCTGTCCAAAATCTGCCACAAAATTTGCCTCACAAATGCATCCAGTAGGAATTGGCGGACGTTGAATACCGCTGCTGTTCCTTAGCGGAGCCGTTCTGGATGCAGTGCATATTGGTGGTTAGTCCCTAAAACTAAACGTAAACATTTTCATCCTCACAAAGGTGAGGTATTTTGTAAGTCAGTCTCTGCAGGATTGCTTCTTTTTCCTGGTTTTATTCAGTAAATTGGAAACAGGGTGAAATCTTTCACGCATGCATGTTAACATAATCTCAGTCCATGAAACTCAGGAGATAATCCTGTATTAGTCTGATCGCCTCATTCATCTGATCAATTCCTCCAGTTGGTCTCTGCAGGACTTTGGAGACCTCTAAATGTCCAGGCAGACAGAATCAGTGAAAGCTGTAAGAGTGAAAGGCTGCGTGATTCGGCTTGATTGTCAGTCGACCTGATTGCCCACAAGCCCCTCTTTTCTGATTGATGACGCCTCTGTAGAAGATGGAGTGCATCTGAGTAAGAAGATCAGGCCACTTTGGCTCTAAGCAATGTTATTTATCACCTGTCTCCATACATGAGCATCATTCACAGCCCTGAAATGCTCTTTCAGTTGTGTAAAACAAAACCAAGCTGCCTCTTTGATGATAATGAGCAGCTGACAGGTTGGCTGAGTTCAGGAGTTTGCAGACAAGATGTGTAGAGTGTTTTTGCTGCACCAAAGAGCATAGAGAAGTACAGAGAAAGATCCTTGTATGGATGCATCAGGGCTCAGGGAAAGAAATCTGTTGATTTCTCGGGGTGTCAGATGTGAGAAAAAGGAGACGAGCTCGGCTATCTCAGGATCTTTGTGCAAGAAGAAGCGTAGGAGAGGAGGGTGCCAGAGGGCTGGAGTAAGAAGCTTTGCCTTTCAGTTTTTACATACAGTCATCCATCTTTTAATCTTAAGCGACAAAGACAGAGAGTGAAAAAAAGAGAATTTCCCTTAGCAAGCATTAGATAATCCTCACAGAGGAGCGATGCCAAACAGCCTGTGAGCACCTTACAAATGAACAATGCCCCCGCTGACATGAAGCCATTCTCCAGCATAAACCCAGAAGAGCATTTTAATGAAATGCACAAAAGACAGAGAGAGATTGCCATGTTTTCTGGCAATGCAAAGCCTGTTTACTCACACTTCATTCACAGTTTGCGTGTTGGGAGGATTAATCCACCGGCAAAGTCAGTGGGAGGTCAGGATGGTTGGCACGTATAGCTGCAGTACGGTAGTGGTCTGGCTGGGTGAATAAGAGATGCCTGAAAAAGAGATGCACAAGTAAACCAGCTGAAGTCGTCATTTATTTGTGAATGAAAATCCACCGCCTGCTCCTCTGAACCCACCTGAAAACTTGATCATTTTTATAGATGATCTAACTCTGTCTGAGTTTGATCAAAGCCAACCACAGATCTCACTATGAAAACAGTGAGTCCCACAGTCCTTCAATGGATTAGAGGATAAATACTTTCAAATTTATCTCAACAATTGTGCCTTTACTAGAACTTTCCATGTACCACCTCTTTACCTCACATGCTCAGGCTGCAGATGACGAGTTTTTTCACCCTTTACAGATCCTGAGCTGCTACAGCAAACAATAAACTCTGTATGTGTCTCCTGAGACATAAGCTGAAAACATTAGCATATAAAGTATGTTTATAGTTTTCCACCAACAGAATTAACGAATCAAGTTATATTCAAGGTCACTGAGCCAATTAACTCTTTGCTGTGGGCTAAAACAGACGTAAAAAAAATGTGATCACTGATCAAACATTAGTTGTGTCATTTCCTTCAAACCTGAGCTTCAAAAACCTACAATATTAACAAGACCACTCAAGACTGTGTCATTTTTTAAATGCCTTGTATACAGTGTTATAATTATGCTGGTGCTATGGTAAAGAAATGCTCTGGTTGTCAGTGTAAAGTGGTCAAATCTACAAGAAAGAGGAAATCACTACTGGCTCAATGATACGATATTATCACGATGCTTGGGCCACAATATGGTATTATTGTGATTTTTAACATTTTGCAATACAGTGAGTATTGCAATACAAAATATTTCGATCTATTCTAATTAGCGAGTTTAGCATTTGTCTTTCCTTTATTTTTGTCTTATTTACACTGTATTTTATTTTTTGTATTTTATTCGTGTAGCACATCTTGCAAAACTTATATTTTGTTGGACTAACGCTCTCCTGCTCTATGATATCACCTTTGCCAACCTCACTGGACAAACAGTTGATTTAATTATTCCATCATCATAGATTTGACTTCATATAAGCAACTAATTTGAAAAAATCGATACTTGGTCAATGAGACAATACAATATATCACCAGACAAAATATCACCTTACTTTGCTGTATTGATTTTTCTACGAGAAAGGGTTAAAAAAAGACTGAAACAAAGTTAAACAGTCTTTGATAGTGGCATGTAAGACATTTTATGATATGTGCAACATTTAAGCTACAGGTTACTAATTAATTGATCATTTAACTATCAAGATCAACCAGAAGCAGCTCATATTTCAAAATAAAAGCATAGTTTTACAACACAGAATCCAACATGCAAAATTAATGAGAAAATATCAAAATTAACGCATGACAAATAATCATTTTAAGAGGTGAAGTCTTAACTCACTCTTCTAAGCTGCTGGTGCTAGCTTCGTTAGCTAGTTAAAAGTAGCTGGCTGGAGTCTCGTGGCAACAATCTCCATGTCAGCCTGAAAATATTTCAGTCTGTAACTTCATGTGAGTGTCTGCTTTTGTCTCCTAGTCTGTCCTTTATTTTAATCATCTATGAATTTATCATTTAAAAAAACAAATAGACTTGATCATAATTTTGACACTGTTTTCTTCATAATCAATCAATCAATAGTATAAGAACAATTCACTTTATCAGCTGTCCTATTTTATTATCAGGGGTTGAATCTGACACAGAATCAAACGCTGAAAAAGGAAACTGACTGTGTGGGAATAATGTGTCGATTATTTTAGGATGTTAAACAAAAGAGCCAGAAACAGCAGAGAGGGTTGTGGAGAAATGGGGGGGGGGGGGGGGTGTGGGTGGGAGATCATTATGAAGCTCTGTGTGGTGGAGGCGGGATAGTGTGTGTGTGTGCGTATCTGTGGGTGGGTGGCTGGAGGCTGACACATCCCAATTATTGACTGGAGGTGTAGCAAAGTAGAGAAAGAGTGAAAATAAAATAAGCCTTTACTAGAAATTCTTTAGAAAACTTGATGACAGACTTTTGAATTTTTGATTCTCTTATTCAATTGTTGTCTCTAGAGGAAAGTCCCCTTTTCTCCAGTGTTACTCCCATTAAAAAAGAAAGATGTTGTAAATTTAAAGCATCAAGTGAATTATCTATAACCTGCTGCTCAAAATATAAAAGGATTTGAGGAGATTAACCAAACTTCTGAAAACACTGACTCTTAAAAATAGGAAATTTAGATATAACAGCAGAAAAAAACACATTTTTTCACGTTTGTGCTCAAAAAGCAGATACAAGTCATTGGTTTGGAAATGCAGCTATATTATACTGTTACTTTTCGGTTACTCTAGAGAACAAAAGCCTGTTTTTTAACAGGGTCTGTGTTGAATATACTAAAATATTTCACATGAATAATAAATAAATGCTGTTCAAAGCGCTGAAAGCCCCTTTTTAAAACAGCAGGGTGTCCAGAAGAGCCAGAAAATTACAGGAAGTGTTCAGGGAAATCTTACAGACAAAAAAGGAGGAGGCTAAAAAAGTCTTCTTGTTTTTATAAGTTAAAGTCTTAGCTTGTGCTATATTTCATGTTTAATGTTTGCACATACAGAGCAAAGTCTAGCAGAGTCGGTTTCCCTGTATGTGTTACATATTTGGCCAATAAAGCTGATTCTGATTCTGGAGATGGTCTGATAGATCCAACAGAATGAGACCAGAAAGAGCGAGTTACACGCAGGACTCTGGTGTTGTGCTCCACAGTCATCTGGGCAATTAAATGCTTCTGCACCAGTTAATGCTCTGTGGGCAAATCCTGTCCAAACACTGCTGTCTCATATGTCCGCCCGCAGGTTCATCCACAAATCAATGTGGAGTGCCAGGTCTGTGGTCACTGCAAACACAGCACGAAAAAAGGTGTTTGAAAAAGAGGAGACGGACGGGGAGAGGAAACACCTCCAGTAACCTTCCTATGAGAGTTATTTATTTAGCCAATCCCTCCATCTCACATTGGGACTAAAAGTAGAGATGGAAAGAACATTCTCTCCAGAACTGTTCAGGTTTCTTATATAACACGGTGAAGCTGAAGCATTTGGCCATTTTTCTACTGAATATTTCAGGTCCACTGAGGAAAAGTGAGGAAAAGTGTCACAAGCACAAAAAACGTTCTGCCTAGTCTCACAAAAAAAAGGGAACATGTATATTTCCTGTGCATGCATCTCAGAAACTTATCCGTGTGGCCAAGTCACTGAGCTACCGTCGCTTTTACACCAGTACTACTTTGTTCTGAGGTTCAGACAGCTTTGTGAGTGGGCAACAGGAGACTAATTATTTCATACTGGCATCCATGAAAACCCTCATTTCAGCTATTTTAGCCACGGCCTTGTCTTGAAAGGAGTCGCTCAGAAAACCTTGAAAACTTGCCTGATGATAAAGCTGCCATCCATAAATATCACACTAGGGACTCAATTCAGCATGGACATCCAACACTATAATATTAAATGTTTATATGAAAGTACAGAGCAGAATAATACTGTAATACTGTAGTAAATCTGTATACCTTTGATACTAATTCTTGTCTTTTTTTGCATCCTGGTTTTAGATGACCTCTTATTTGCCTATAAAGGGTATCCTGGGCCTATAAATGAAGGTTTAAGTCTTCTTTCCAGAGACAGGAAGAGGACCAATCGTGCCAGCTCACAAGCACCTCCTTCTCTGTTTCGTGGTGACATGCAACTAATCCTCTGTGTCCTGTTTGTGTCTTCTCTTCTATCTTTCTTGGCTCTTCTTCCTCTCTCTCTATGATCTCTTTCTCTCTATGATCTATAACCTTTCAGTCTCGTCAGACACCCGAGGGCGAGTTCCTGCCACTGGACCAGTGCGAACTGGATGTGGGTTTTGGGACGGGTGCAGACCAGCTCTTCCTGGTGTCTCCTCTCACCATTTGCCATGAAATCAACCCCAAGAGCCCTTTCTTCGACCTCTCCCAGCGCTCTCTCATGAACGAACAGTTTGAGATAGTAGTTATCCTGGAGGGCATCGTGGAGACCACTGGTGAGGACTATCCTCCTGAATTTCACTTCCTGTCACTTCTACGACCTATTCTTTGCAATCACTGCTTCTCGCTCTTATTCTCCCTCTTCACTCTCAATCTAAATGTAAATTTCCTTATTAATATCAACCCACATGCATTTCTGGCTAATAGATTCTCATGATCGAAACCTCTAAAATCTCATTACTGGACTTGCCTAGTCCTGCTTGCTTAAAGGTTGCAGAAGCTGAAGAAAACCAAGAAGGAGAATCATACTCATGTACAAATGGCACCCTGATTGAATTATGTGGGATATTTATTATCACAGAATTGGTTAACGCCCATCCCATGCATAATAAAAGCTTGTGGTCATAAGTGCGCATGTCACTTTGATGAATGAGCCCAGGTTTTAAGTTCCTCTCCATCATTTCAAATGTCAGCAGAAAAAAAGAGATAGCTCAGAGCCTATAAGACGTTGTTTTATACAACACTGCTTCCTCTGTTGCATTTTTAAAAGGATTATTCCTCCCTGAAGTCTGATACAAATAAATCCATCTTCTTCCATTCTTTTTAGCTCTGCCTCAATCCATCCCCCAGAACCCTCAGTTTGCCTTTGCTGTGGGGAAAACCACAGAGCTGAATAGGCTTAGAGCAGGAGGGAGGGATCAGCAGGGAAGCCGACACGGTCTGTGCTCTGTTGATAAAACAATTAAACTGGGGACAGTCACAAGTTTAGTGTTGCTGTGCTCAGGCTCTCAGAGCTGAGGGGTCAAGGAGAGAAGCCCTGGGACTGCCACCTTAAATACTCCACCTTTAGTCAACCTTTATCTAACAAAGAAAACCTATCAACAGAGACCCCTCAGGAGTTCTCCCTCGGACCAAACTGGTGTTCACAGCTTTGTAAACGGCTGTCTCTTCAGCTCATAGTTATTATATTCAGGATACACTAAATCTGATGCGGTTCTTGCCTGATCTGATTTGAGTCATTCAAAACAGCAAACAACTCAATGTACTGTGATAGATTTTAAAAAGAGTGCACCTCATCTGAGAGGTTTGCCTCGATCCAAAATAGACCTGAGTGGTTATCCTCAGTTCAAAATGCAATAAACACAAACAAATACAGAGAGCCAACAGTGGTATGATTCACAGACTCACAGGCAACAAAAACCTCAAGTTGATACTCAGTCTCTTGTCATAGAACATGATCTGACCTGTTCTGTTCTGTCTGCTGAGATCCACTTTTTACATGTGAAACAGGAGCCTAGCTGGACCCAACTGGACTGAGACAAGTTTCTATCGGCTTTGTCAACTTTGAAACTGAGCTGAAAATCATTTTTAAGCAAATGACTTCACATCTCAAACATCTTCAAATCAGTCTATGGTCAAAATGGTCCAGTCCCTACTCAGTACTGGTCCCTTACTGGTACTTGACAAGTGCTCAATATCATTTCTTTTCAAGAATCTTTGGTGTCTCTTACAAACCTATTAGATCAACTGTAAACGATATCCAAGTGAGTCTTGGCCTGAACCTGATCTTGAGGCTCTACTATCCTGTCAGCTCGACTTTAAAGAAGGAAACAGACCATTTCTCCTCTTAACTTTTTCCTATGCAGTGCACTTTGTTGATCCAGCATGTACCAGGAAGTTGCTGTCTTGATTTTTATTATTTTTTTTACATTTGTGAAGGACAGTCAAAGATGTTTTCTTGTCCCAAAGGAGGAGGCAACAGAAAACAGAAGCTACCGTATAGATGTCTCAGAATTACAAAGTGAAAAGTAAAGGGGTGTATAATTGGTCTCCCCTAGCAACAGGCCTTACAAATTATTAACTCAATACCAGGTTACCGGGTTTTACAATGATGTTGGATCACCCATATCTGCTATTGATTACTCTGACTGCTGATAGGCTCACAGGATAACCACTTGCTAGGACTAAATTACTTTTACGCCATTAAGGTAGAAACAAACTATACTTTCAATACGAGGAATGTATTCATTCTTTTGTTTAAGACTCTTCTGCTCAATAAAGACAGAAAATGCAGTTTAGTGGCATCACGGTGGTTTACCACAGAGAGGGAGGACCAGCACATCAGACTAGGGACCGGTGTAGGCACCAGATGTGTTCAGGCTGGCAGATCAGCCCAGCGCCTGTTGAAGACGTCACACTACGGCAAGTCCACTTGGACAAACTACGTTGCACTCCAATTAATAAGTCAAATGTGCTTGGTTAAAAGCCCCTTGCGGTTTTATATGGAGAGAAAATTTCAACAAATGGGGCTCTATTTTCGTTCTTTGCCCGCTTCGTGGCGCAGGTGTTTCCAAACACAATTCGGTATTTTGGTGAGCGGCGCAGCCCGGTGTAAGTATCCCCCCTCCCTAACTCAGCTCCTCCCAGCGGCATAAGTCGTAGAGAGGGCGTGGAGTGGGTTTAACACAGCTGAGACCTGCTTTTGCCAATCAGAACCGCTTCTCTCCTCACATTTAAATCTGGCGAGGCGCATTACAATTTTCGTGAAGTAGTCAAAGAGATCAAGAGATGGCTGAAGACAGCAATGCCACACAATGGCGACAGAAGGCAGTCCCTCAACAAGTGTTGCTGTAAGTGCTGCAGAGGGCGTCCTGCACACTGTCTCATATTGGCACAGAGGGATTTGGTGTGTGTAATGTTGGACCCACTGGTAAGACAAACAACCTTTTCCACAAATAAAGACACTCACATAAAGTTGCATATATTTAAACCTCACGTGACAAAGGTGGGTTGTGCGCACAGATCACAACATAAATTCAAATAGAACCATTCCATTAAAATCAGAACCATCTGTGCGTAATGACGCATCGCGTTCTGTGGCCTGGCTCTTTCTTTCACAGATGTTGGCATATAAAATAGATTTGGCTCACAAAACTGAATATTAGATATCCGTATGTAGGCTTAAAGTAAATAACTCATCTGAGCACTGAAACAAATCATCTGTTCAGCCGCCGCAGCAGCAGCTGCAGCAGCACAGGGAGAGGACACGGAGACATGTCCAGGTCGAGCTGTGCGAGAAATAAGAGGAAGAGGAAGAGAGAAAAGGAGAGAGACGTATTACATATCTTGTTAACTTCATCATGTGTGTCTATTTACTAGATATTTAATTTAATTTAATGCGGTTTCAGCTATGTTGATTCGGTCAGGTTGAGTGTCCAAACGCGTGCCAAACGCACTCATCAGATCAGATATACAGTGCATCTGGAAAGTATTCATACCACTTCACTTTTTCCACATTTCGTTATGTTACAGCCTTATTCCAAAATGGATTAAATTCCCTTTTTCCCTCAAAAATTCTACACAAAATACCCCATAATGACAAAGCAAAAAACTTTTTTTTAGAACATTTTGCAAATTTATTAGAAATAAGAACACTCAAATGTTGCATATACGTAAGTATACACACCCTTTACTCTTGGTTGAAGAACCTTTGGCAGCGATTGCATCCTCCAGTCTTCTTGTGTATGATGCAACAAGCTTGGCACACCTGGATTTGGGGAGTTTTTCCCCACTCTTCCTTGCACATCCTCTCAAGCTCAGTGAGGTTGGATGGGCAGCGTCAGTGCACAGCTACTTTCAGGTCTTTCCAAAGATGTTCAATCGGGTTCAAGTCTGGGCTCTGGCTGGGCCACTCAAGGACATTCAGAGACTTGTCCTGAAGCCACTCCTTTGTCTTCTTGGCCATGTGCTTAGGGTCATTGTCATGCTGGAAGATGAAGCGTCTCCCCAGTCAAAGATCTCAAGCGCTCAGGAGCAGGTTTTCATCAAGGATTTCGATGTACCAAACATCTTCCATTTCTTAATGATGGAGACCACTGTGCTTTTCGGGATCTTCAATGCAGCAGATATTTTTCTGTAACGCCGATACAACCCTGTTTCGGAGGTCTACAGACAATTCTTTCGACTTCATGGCTTGGTTTGTGCTCTGACATGCTCTGTCAGCTGTGGGATCTTATATAGACAGGTGTGGCTTTCCAAATCATGTCCAATCAGCTGAATTTGCCACAGGTGGACTGCAATCAAGTTGGAGGAACATTTACAAGGCTGATCAGTGGAAACAGGATGCACCTGAGCTCAATTTTGAGTTTTATAGCAAAGGGTGTGAATACTTATGTATATGCAACATTTGAGTGTCTTATTTTAATACATTTGCAAAATGTTCTAAAAAAAAGATTTTGCTTTGTCATTATAGGGTATATTGTGTAGAATCTTTGAGGGGAAAAAGGAATTTAATCCATTTTGGAATAAGGCTGTAATATAACAAAATGTAGAAAAAGTGAAGTGGTATGAATACTTTCCGGATGCACTGTAGATCAGAATACATCGATATAGATCTAAATGTATGTGCTGACTCAGAATATTGGTTGTTGTTGATTATCTGTTGCACTGAAATGTGCCTGACACTGTGGAACCCTGCCGGTGAGGCATCTGTGACGTACGCCGATACGCCGCTGGTCTACCAAAATACCACTATACCAGCTGCGCTCCGCCTGCGCTGAAAACTGACCAGGTTTGAATCGGCAAGCTTTCAGCGCACATTATATGCCATCGGCAAGCACGAAAATGTCACTGCGCCAGCCGATTCTGTCGACACCTCCCCCTGCCGCGCCACCACGCCCAGCTTGGCAGACCTCGGTGTGCCTCAGGACATGAAAATACCAAACTGGCTGTACGCCGGGCTCCGCCAGACAAAAATACCACTGCGTGGGGTCTGCCACCCTCCGCCACATCGCCAGCGGACACAAAAATAGAGCCCATTGATATAAAGAAAAAGGAAAATAATCTACGTAGGATCTCCATTAATTATGGATAGTTTTGCTTTTATTCCCTATTTCCTTTGGGAACCTAAAAGAGGTGGTAGTCCAGCTGTCGTAAGTCCCCTTTGAGAAGTATCGATAGATTGCTCCGGAAAATACATCCATGTTTTCTTCGACGAACTACAATCCCATGAAACCTAATCTGGCAAAAACCACTTCCGTCTGTATTGTCCGGACCAACCACAATCTTCTATGTCATCTGAACCAACTTTCAGCTAATCATATAGTGTGACGTCATCAACAGGCACCGGGCCCCGAGCCAATCTGGCAGCCCGAACACATCTGGTACCTACACAGGTTAATGCTGCAGAGATACCAGCCTATGGAGTCCTGACTTTGTGGTGTGGTATGGCCACATCGTGACATGCTGTTGGCCTCTTTTTGGATCTTAGGGTTGGTGTAGTAAGGAGACAGCATTTAATGAGCAGATCAGCTTCATTTCTATGCAGATGACTAACTCTTTGCATATTTGGTTTCACTCTCATAAAAAGGCAGGAATGATTATGAGCCCAGTAAACGCTGCCAGGACTTTTACATAAAGTCTTCTTCAGGGACACCCTGCTCGATTTCTGCCAAGTGTTTGCATATTCTGCTGAGGGCTTTCATTTCCATTTTCATGTCATAAACATTAACCGTTTGGTTGAATACTCATATGATGGGGAGCAAAACTGGCACATATGTCCAAAAATCAACCCATAGGCTTCCTCTGCAGCAGCATAACTACTGATATGGATCCGTCGTCAGCAGAAATACATTAACTGGCCTTATGTGACAAGGAAACTCAGCCAGGAAACTATCCTGGTTTCACCCACATAATCAGAGCAAAACCAAAGGCTCATTAAGGGTAGAAATGACCTTTGCATAGATGGAGAACTGTTGAAGGTTTTCTATGGATGAAGATGAGTACTGAGCTTGGAATAGCATCAGGCTATGACATAACACTGCACATATAATCCCTCAGAGGGACGGGATCAGACTCCTACTCTCTTGCTAAGTGAAGTGTTTAGCTGAAAAGCTCAAGTTGAAGCAGAGCCGCTGGATCAGAAAATACATGGATAAGTACCTATTGATTGCAAAAAGACTTCTCACGAGCATTCAAATGTTAAGAAAATTACATTACAGGAGGTCAAATGGAAAAAAATAAATACTTGGCATTTTTCATACAGCAGACAGACAGAATCCAGATTTATGCTGAATCTTAGCTGCTCAGTATATTATCGATGCAGAAAAGCAGCAAAAGCATTAGTTTGTCAATTTGAGAAGAGCAAAGATCTAGGCTTGCAGACATCACAAACACCAACACAAGGTGCAATTAAGACATGTTAAGACAGGACCCATGACATTTCCCATTGATGTATTGATGACTGCATGGTGCTGTATGACTGCTAATGATGTTTATCAGATTCAATCTGGCAATCAGCACTGATAACAGGCGTCACTCACCTTTCACCTGGATTACTCGAGCACAACAAGTAAAAATTGATTACCACGGATTGAAAAGAAATTGCAAAGCTTTGACAAGAGGAGGGAATAGTTCAAAAGAGCATTAAGTGTTTGTAAGTGTGTGTCTGAACATCAGAGAGGACAGTTTTTGAATATCTAAGGACAACGTAATAACAGTTTCTCAAAGTAACCATTTAGGGATAGGAAATGACAAGAACCCTTCCCGTGGATCTGCCATTAAACCAGGATTTTACTCAACTGTGTGTGACTCAGAGGTTACATGGTAGATTTTACAGGAAGGAGCATGAAGCAGAGAATCAAGAGGCAATACAACACAGGAGAGCAGAAAAAGAGATGATGAGAAAGAGAGCTCATCAGCCTGTCACCTTTCTTGCACTTAAACCTCATGTATTCATGTTTTATTGCCATGCTGTCACTCTCTTCTCATAGGTATGACATGCCAGGCCAGGACTTCCTACACCGAGGATGAGGTTTTATGGGGCCATCGCTTCCTGCCGGTGATGTCTCTGGAGGAGGGCTTTTTCAGGGTAGATTACTCTCAGTTCCACAGCACGTTCGAGGTACCGACACCACCATACAGCGTCAAAGAATACGAGGAGAAGAACTCACTGCCCTCGCCTTTATCTTCGCCCACTCCTGCGCTGACTGAAAGCCACGGTGCACGGCGTGACCGCGTGTTTTCTGTGGATTGCATCAACACATCAGAGGAAAGAGGCCGCCAGGGAGGGAGCGGGGGTCGTCTGCCGAGCAAGCTGCAGAGGATGAGTTCATCAGGGAAGGAAGACCTACAAAGGAAGGTGCTTCTGCTCAGCTCCCAGCACTCAGAAAAGGCCTGCAGCACAGGGGACCTGCCACTAAAGCTCCAACGTCTCAGCTCATCACCGGGACCTGAGTCAGAGAACCGGCTGCAGCTCAAGTCACTCAAGGTGGGCTTCGAACCCATGACTCAGTCGACAGGAGATCTGTACCAGCACAGCCTAGCCCCTACACTATCCCCTGCTCCGGTCCCAATGCGAAGCCCGCTGCTTTCAGGAGGAAGGCCTGAGGACAATCTGCCTGCGAAGCTGCGTAAGATGAACGCTGATCGCTGAAACCATAACAACAAACTAAGCGACCTCTGGACAAGACAAATAGAAAGAAACTCGCATGAAAACAGACCAAGAGATGTGCTTTGCCTTTGGAGGATGTGAAAGGGGGGAAAGTAATATTGTTTTTTTTTTGTTTTTGTTTTTTTCTTGAGACACAATCTCTACTGGAATTACTGTGATTTTTGTGTTTCATAGCACATGCAGAATTTGTCACACAGGAAACATCACGCTTAACCATCGAAACTCGATCATTCTGCGAGAGTTTGATTGCACGCACGCACTAAATCCATTGTTTGATGTATGCACCTCTGAAATTAATAGTCAACCTTAGTTTTATTGAAATATAAATTACATTAAATTATGATAATAAATGCTGTTTGATTCTCTTTCTTTTGTTTTCATTGTGGTTGTAGCACAAATAAAGCAAGCGTTAAGTTTATGGACTCATTATTACCGGTGCAACAGTTGTGCCAAATGTCAATAAGTAATCCAACCGTGTGGAGCAATCCATTTTAATATGCCATAGTTTACGGCTTTATTTTGTCCCCTTGGCAAACAACTCTTGTGGTGGATTTAAGAGAGCAACGTTAATGAGCAAGTCTGGAGCAGAGGGAGAATTATGAAGTGTCCTTGTTGGAGAATGGTTTCCAAAAAGGAGTCATTCAGGCGAAATGTCTGAAAAACACACCCAAACAAAAAAAAAGCACCTTTAAAATGGTTACAGAGTGTCTCACAATAAAAGCTGGATGTATTTAAAGGTCAGAGTGAAAGAAACAGACAAATAACTATAAAATGTACATGCTCCACAAAGCACAAAACAAAGTGAGATGTTACAACTCGTAAACAAAAATACAAAAATATTCATTTCCACAAAGAAGAATTTAGAGGTGATTGAAAGAGAAGACAGTAGAAGCTCTCATCCCCTCAGGTGGGTCATTTCAGTACCTCTGTAGGCCATGACTACAAAGCCTCTTCTGATGTTTTTGCATCAATCTAGCCCTGAGGGTGATACAGAGTAGTTCATTCATACTGCAGGGATTAGAGGCAATAGAGATCAAATAATCAAAAGAGAAATGTATTCATGCTCTTCTGTCCTAAGTAGGTAAAAGCAAACAGCTACAGTCTTTGCTACGAACAATCGCAGTCGATGTTTGAAGACATGTTATACATTTTACTCAAAGTCAGATTTGGTCAGCTTTAGTATCCATTATCAGAAAAAAAAATACATTTGCTTCACTGTGCAGTCTTTTGTCAGAAGAAACAAAGCTCTGGAGGCACAGGGCCCAAGTGATTCTCCATGTAATCACACCAAACTGCCTGGATTCAAGTCCACAGAAAGTCTCTCCAGCATCTTGGGGTTAGCACGTCGAAATCTGAAGAACATTTACGCCATCATTTCAGCGCTGCATCAGCACAGAAACAGGAGAATCAATGCAAAGGGGAGATTTTTCCTGCTTCAACTGCACTCTTGAGGAGACCCCCCAACCCCCCAGCCCCAATTAGGAATCTGCAGCCTCGACCACCCACTCAGTTTACAAAGAGCACAAACAGCTCAGTGCACTCTGCTCTTCTCATTTAGCTTTGTGTGTTTTTCCAAAAATGAAATACTCATGACCCGTCATTGTTTAAGAACAAAGCATGACATCTATAACAGGGTAATTGACAGAAATAGAGCCATTAAAAAGCAGAGAGCTTCAGGGATGTAGTTGATTAATCTGAGAGGGTTTGTCGTTCAAAATAGTCAGCTACTACAAATATTTTTGGCTCTCTACTGGAAGTGTGTTTGCATGTGGCAGCAAACTGTAAGGCAGGGGCTAATCCTCACCTAAAACTAGATACAGTTGTTGCAAGCTCCAATTTGCACCTTTTTATTCATGCACATACTTTAAAGATGATTTTTCTCCTCCTGTCTTCAATGTCTGTGTCAGTGGTTCTTTGTTCTGAGAGCCTGCTGAGGCTGTATATGCAAATATCCCCCTGTATGAATACGCAAGTATCTATCAAGAGGTTTACGTAACTCCATTTTCACTCATGAGAAATCTGACACATGATTGCCGTAATTATTTACAGTGAACATGACATACATGTAAGCTCTGCAGCAGAATTTCCTAGTGGATTTTCAAAGACTTTCTTAGAGTCAAATGAAAAAAAAAAAGCCCCTGTATTTATAACCTCAAAGTGAGATCAATACACATAGATCAATACAGTACTTTGGTGTAGCCCACAGTAATCATCAAACGACTTGATTTCCAAGATTTCCTCCTGTGGCGTTTAAAGTAAGTGCTGTTATCTTTTGGCTCAAGGTCCAAAGTACACACCCAAGACATGAACTGTACATTTGATTCTGGTGAGTCTCAGTTCAACAGCAAATAAATTATAATTATAATTATTTACCTGACTTTGCTGTAATGATAAAGGCCCCAAACAGAAACAACCTTGTGTGTATTAGCTTCTATTAAAAGGTCCTACAGCCTCTGGTGATAATTATAGTTATACGTTCGTATCATTTAAAAATATTAGCGCTGAGCTTTAATCCATTTCTGGAATATCATCTATTAAATATTCAAGGTGTTTAAATCAGTATTTAACCAATCAGTAATAAATAGCCTTGTCACGCCCACACAAGTGCAACTAAATTACTTCGCTCAGTCCACCTCTTCACGTCAAAGCAAAGTCCCCTTTGCACCTCTGCACTTACTGTCTGTGATCTATCAGTGCTGGTGTTTATCATTCCTTAGCTGCACACTCACCAGTGAAGATGGCAGCTTGACTTTCATCAATTTGCCAGCTGCTGGGGCTTGATGACACAGAAGTCTGTGGCTCTGATGAGCTGTGGCGGAGTCATGCTGAAGCTGTCCCACAAATGTATTTCCCCCAAGATGAGTTCAGGGCTCGGCTAAACGGCTTTGTCAACGTAGAGGTTACACAGAAATCAAAGTAACAAGTAATAAAAGTATTTTGTAACTCACTCAAAGAGCATCTGAAATAGTTTTCAGACACTGGAGTTTCTTTGTTCTCTGAGTCAGACAGCCCCAACATGTCAATCAAAAAGTTAGCTGCCACGCCCAGAAATGTTCTCAACTAGAAAATGAGCTTTTTCTAATGTTATGGATGTATATTTTTAACCAACAACTTAAATTCTGATATTCTGTATGATTTTTGGATTGAAAGCCATGTTTCCAGAGGCTTTCTGTTTGCTGAAATGGTAGCTATAAAAAGTTTTGTCAAGCAACTTTTAAAAAACTGATTGGTTGAATGGAGGCTTATTTTGATGAATTAAGAGAGTCAAAGAGTTTTACTGCTGATTGTTTTTTTGTTACTCACTGCTACAGAACACAGTGTTGTGTAAATTTGGGGTGCCAGGATGTCACTGCAGCAGATTGTGTTCCCTTGATGTTGCTCTCTATACAGATTTTTTTTTTTTCTGCACATACCAAAGTCTGCTGTTGTGTGATTGGTCAACACAACTCCCTATTGACCCTACAGTCCATACTCATAGACTGTATATAGAATGGACTCCATCTGCCTCCTCGCTGGGTGAAACCTCCATGAGAACAGCACCCACTGGTGACGGGCTGCAGTATAGGTCATAGATCCCACCTCCTCCAGCAATCCCTATGGAGCTGTGGAGAAACTTTAGAAATTTATTACACAGAATATAAATTTTTCTTCCCCTGGTTGCGATGTTGACATGTAGTTACTGTAAGACTGGTTTGTGCTCAGGTCGTCTTTTTTCAGTAGAGCTTCATTTTTAAAAGTTATCAGGGGTTCATGTGATTGACACTTTATACAGCCTGTGGGCGTACAAAGACTGCATAGCTCACCCGGGGGATACACTGTTTGAGCCGAGCGTCATCACAGCAACCATAGACATAATATATGTAGATGCCTCAAAGCCTGTCACTGCCTATTGGAGCTCAGGTATCAGCGCGGCCGCCGTCTTGGATGGGTCCCCCATGCGCCTTCAGTGCATTAAGGTAGGTAGGAATGCCCAACCATATTCATAATAACTCTCCAAATCTCTGCCCAATTTTCACACTGTTTGGTTTGTTGCAAACGGCAGGGATGTAGCCATAATACAGGACAATGTCAAACATTAAAAATAACCAAAATTATTTTTCAATCTTATTTGTGAAATGTAATCCTAAGTGATCTGGTGTCAATATTGCGTTGGTTTTTTCAACCTTAGAGTGTGAAAATATGGGCATAGTTGCTCGTTCTCCACTGACCCCGTTTTGTGCTTGAGCGAGCCTGGAGTGGGGATACCCATCCAATATGGCGGTGATGCTGGATTACGCTCCAGCACGTAATGAGGTGTCTACATGTATAATGTCTATGACAGCAACTCTCCCGCTGAATGCATACAACGCTTGTGCGCAAATGGTGGAGTGCGTTCAGTGCTACTGCGCGAGTGAATCGCGAGAAAATCCCAGAAATACCGAGAGCAACTTGGCTTCAAATTTGTATAACGACAGAAGGTGGAGCCAGGTATAGTATATACAGTCTATGTACATATTCCACTACAGACAATCTTCAATGAGAAATATCTCCAAATCAGATCAGGAGCTTCGATTTTCTTGCTGGTGGGCTTTGCTGAATAAGCTTGAATCAGACATCTATAACATGTCGTTTTCGTGATTTAAACTGACCAAGAATATACATTATATTTATATGGAGATAAACTGGCCCGAATATTGTCCCATTGCTTATTTTTCCAAAGGCCCTTCAGCAGTAAAATCCAGACTTTTAACAATGGTCCCCCTGTCGGGTGAATAAATTCATTTAAACTTTTTTAATTGAAGCCATTAACAATACCTATGTGTCAAGTATTAGCCGAGGACAATCCAAATGACCAATCAAGTGCTTTTTAATAATTTCACAGCCTCATCCCACTTGCAAAGACAGAAATTGGCCTCATATATAAGTCGTTGACACCCATCTCCACTGAATTAATGTTATTATTCTCCATACAGTGATGCAGTTATGCAGCAATGACCATTAGTGTGTGACAACGGGGATTATTATTTCCTGTGGAGCCCTGGCAGACTTCTCCCTACAGGGGCAGGCTGATTGGGGCAGCAGAGGGGAGGAGACAGAACAAATGCAATTTAGGTCCTAAGAAATTTTCCCCTGAAAACCCAATTATGTCTCCACGGGGAAGACAGGGTGATAAGGGTCATTTTGTTCTGCTTAATGGAACGACAGGACAGCTGCGTGTAATGATGGGGTCTCTTTTTATTCTCTTGGCTTTCACTCACTGTCCACATCAACGTCACACCACACACACACACTTACACACACAGACAGAGAGCAGCGCACAGGGGAAGGAGTTTGATTAAAAGTCCTTTGAAAGAGTGTGATTAAAAAGTAAAAGACTCCTCAGCGGCTGAAGATGGATTTCAAATAGCGTCTGAGAAAAAGTTCTCCCTTTTTTCTCAAGGCTGCAAAGTGAAGAACAGAAAAGTGGGAAACAAAGGAGAGAGTAGGAAGGGGGGGGGGTTCAGATACTGAAATACGTTTGAATTTCTGCGATCATATTTTGCAAAAATGCACGCCTGCATTTGACAAGTACAATTTCACAGAAGAGGTAGCTGCAGACAAACGATTTGTCAGCGGAGGAAAAATGCTTATCGAGCACAATGTGTCAAGAGGGGGGGGAGCACGGCGGTAAAAGAGCAGAAAGGGACCAAAAAGAAATAAATAGATAAGGATGGAAAAGGGAGTAAATAGATAAATGGAGCAGAGAGAGAAGCCATTACTCATGTTAACAGGTTTGAGAGTCCAGGATTTCATTTATGGCTGTCAGAAAGAGGAGGAAATGTTCAGGGGGGTTTGTGAATGTGAAGCAGTGCATCAGAGAAGAGGGAGAGTCTATTTGATGCTGAAACAGATGGACTGAATCTGGATATGCAGCGATAAACATGCACAAAGTAAGCTGTCAGGCACTTCATTTTTCTCATTTAGTGGTATGGACTTGTATTAATCACTTTGCCTGGAATCCCACTCCAACACTAACCTGAGATTTGTGAGCTAAATGAATGTTTACATGTTGGTTAAATCACACAGAACAGTCAGATATTTTCAGCCACTCTCTTTCTTGACTGTGTGATCATTTATCCTAATGAGATAAATACGATTTTAATAAAGATAAAACACTGTCTGTGATGCATCTTTGCCTCAACTTGTCTCCAAATCGGCTCCACTCCAAATTTGAGCTCCAGAAAAGAAAGCCTCATAAAGATGTAACTGAGTTTATTATGATGTTACAGTGAAACTCTGACCAAGCTTTCGTTGGCGTTTTAATGTTGCATTCCAGTTTAAAGTCGGGATTTCCAAGCTCTGAGTCAGAACTTTCAACTGGAACGACTCCCAAGGTCAGATTTCCGACTTGGAAAGTCAGACGCTCCAACCCCCCAAAGCTGACATTTAAAGATGATGGCTGCCGGTTGTAAACAATAAGTAGAGGCTTCTGTAATAATTCTTTTATTAACACTTTTTACTATTTGTTGTCACTATATGTCAGCCATATAAAATAGTATTGTTAGATGTATATATATATATGGAAATGCTGTCATTGTGTAATTTATGTTTTTCATGTGTGTATGCAAACTACGAAGCAGGCCGTGCTAACAACGGCCAATCGTAGCCTGGCAGCTTCAGCCGGTGTTTTCTTATTTAGGTTTTTTTCAGTTACCTGTCTATGTGGAGAAGGGTTGTAAATAGTAGTCTATGATGCAGTGAATGACCTCTGGATTATGGATACACAAATCAGTTAATGAGCCTTAATTGGCATACGTTAACCTAGTATTGGTGATGGTTTGTGCCAATGGCCTTTGGCAATAGGCAACCCAATCCTCTAAAGATAATTGAGAGGTTGTTGTTGTTGTTGTTGTTTTGGCGGTAGAAAACACGAACCCTACTTTTTTCTGACTTTGTAACTGAAACGATAAGAACTCGAGTGTGACGTCACTCCCAACTCTGATTTCCAAGGTAAATGGAACGCACCATAAGAATGCATCCAATTTTTATTTCATACAGATACGCACAAAACATCCTGTTGGATCTGAGGGTATCGCATAAGTTGTTTTTCAGGCATTTGTTTCTCTGTATAGGGGATGGTCTCTCTTGTGCAGCTTGCCTTGATTAACATCTTCTGCTTTTGTGGACAACATGAAAGAACAGCTGTGTAGATATTACATGTGATCTCGCTGTCTATCTTTAGTGAGGTGAAATTTGCATAACCTTTCCATTTTGAGACTTTTGGATGATTAACATTGCAAAACTATTCCCATTGATAATATGAAATTGATTTCTGCTATGTGCCCCAGTCTCATTATATTAACATGCAGGTAACATTTGAACAAGAGGAAGTACCGACATGAGAGGCAGCATAGCCTCTGAAGCTCAGGGGTGTGCCACTGAATACAAATGAGACTCTGTTTCTTTCTCATTTTCAACCATTACTCCTCAGTGATTCCTTCCCTAGTTCATCAGACCAAATTCTCCAAAAAAGTGCTTCAGTCTGGATGCAAGTAGTGAGATGATAATGCATTCCTGTGGCTCTGAGGGTCTCTTGTTTGTGTCTTTGTGATGAACAGAGCTCACACTTATTGATTCCTTGTGAGGGCACAAGAGGTCAAATTGCTCTGGACTGCTCTCCAAGCTGTGGATGAACCTCCATCGCCCACTCGCCTCCTGACACTGGCTGTCCCCACAGGACCCAGTGATTAACCAGCCTCTGAGCAGCGCGTTGCATCGGAGATCGCAGGTCTTGCTGTGGTGATGAGGCAGGTATTGATTTGTGCCTCAATCTTTAGCCTGGTTACGTTAGCCGAGGAACAAGAGAGACGTCCCCAGAGGAGGCTTGGTCTACTCTTCTTGTAAGATGAACCTTTCATTCTAGCTCTTCAGCCCAGGTACAGGCGCTTGCTTGAAACGACATATATTTACACATTCCTCACGTACATCCCACGGGCAAGTATTATGGTAATGTATGCATGGAAAAAAAAATCAATGCAGTCAGCCATTCATTATTCTCAAAGCATGTCAGCGGTGGTTGTCTCTAATGTAAAGCCGACACGTTTGTATTTAAATGCTACACCGAAAGATGAGCGCTGATGCTATTTGCTTTCTTCCTGAGTCCCCTAGGCTTCTTCTGCGTGGATAAGAAGAAAAAAACTCCCAAAGTAAGGGATAAAATGTTTAATATTTGCAGTTCAGCAACAAAACTCATCCTTATCTACACATACATTCACTCACACACTCACACGCATAGTTACATCTGCAATGCTGCAAAATAAAAGCGGGGAATCCACATACACATACGCTAAAGCTGCATGTATGTGGGTCCTTAGTGCTGCAGGGCAAAGAAGTTCCCCTGTTGCCGTGGTGACAAGACTTGAAAGAAGTGGCTTGCTTTGATTGACAGCTGCTGCATCTCTTCTTGTTTTGTTGTTGTTATCGTGTGTGTGTGTGTGTCTAATTGTGTAACTCAGGTAGGTTGTCCAGTCAAGCTCATTTCCCTTTTAGAAAAGCACAAATTGCCTGATTATTCATTCACTCACTCACTCACTCACAGTTGGTGCTACTCGGAGAAAATGAACAGCTCTGCTTTAAAACATCCCTGACCAACCAACTGACAGGAAAAGACTGGAGATAAGAGTGATGTCTGCTGTCATCACGTCTGCTGCTTTTTAAACTCCATCTCTCAGGAGCTGATATTAAACTGTCAGCTGAAGGTTTGAGTCAATGAGACAGCTTCTTAATGAGCCCTGTTTTATAATGAAGTATTCATGTTTGAGGTATTTTTAACCTGCACTGACACAGGTGTCAGGGTCATTACAGCAGAGGCTGATGACTCCTCAGACAGTGGCTGACTGGAGAAAACTGAAGAACAAAGATGTCACTGAGGTCAGCCCGGTGTCCCTGCGTCAGTGCAGCAAATTCAGGGTCTTGCAAGGCCAGAGTAAAAATATCTGAATAACTAGCTTGTCAATAGGCGAAAGGGTAAGCATCATATTTAGAGATTTCCTTTAGTTTTATGAAAGGACTGCAGAACTTATTGCTACCATCTGGCTCAGGGATCAGGACAGTTGGTCTAAGTCTCCACAAACTCCTCTGTTACTCCCCACATGTCCCTTGACTCCACAAAAACTGCCCTCTTACCCGTCTTTAATTAATCAGTCTGGAGCACACTCCAGTCACACCCACTCCACTGAAGCCCTGATGTCATTGTGTATGTAGCCTCCGTTCCCACACCTGATGTTCACTCCCTCCCTCTGTCGCTTGGCTTTGAAATGCAAAACCTGTACCCTGTCTGCCAGCCTGACTGACCCACTAAACACCGGTTGCACAGCTTGCTCCTAATCTCCATCACACAGTCAGCTTATGAAACGACCCCTTGCTCACGAGATGAGAACACACACACTGTTTGAACATCTGCCTGCATATCAAGCTGCCAAATTGCCTGTGAAAGGAGTCCCTCACATTTTCATACGTTTCTCACCAGCAGGTAAATTACACCTCAGGCTCAGGAGTGGTGAAGAGGAACAGCTCCAGTTAGATGTAACTGTAGCATGTGTCTGTGTTTTTGTGCAGGCTAAGTTCTGGCCTAAATCTCAGACCTTAACAGCTAAAATACAAGGACTGTATATGTTAAAATGGTAAAATGCCTCTTAGAGCTTTGTACTCATTTAAATCTCTTTATAATAACAATACTGAAATAAACTGATCTGATTGTATTTGTACTGCTTTAAACCACTGTGTTTACACCATTGTGTTTTGTATTTGTGTGGGTCTTTATTTAGCTTTTGGAATAAATAACTCCTTCATTTTGGGAAATGTCCATGATTTAGGGTTGGGTATGAAGTATGGAGTACAGGGAGCTAGGGAAACTTATGTGCATCTAAAACATGTACATGAAAGAATTCACAAATTTTTATTAATTCAACTCCCATAAGAACAGACAATGCACATAAAGTAGTATTTTGTCATTTTTAGGGTGACCCTGCACAAAACTGCCAGAGAGAATTGCTCTGAAATTGGGATTCTGGGTGGCAGGAGTTGATTTACACACTAAATCACACCAGAACTGAAACTGCCTTTATTTATTTGTTTCACTATTACCTTCAGTAGATTGTGTCTTTTACTCAAATAAGATATCCATGTGTGCAGGGATATTCTAGCAGTTTCTTCTGTGCATCACATGACTGTATCCATCATAACATTTTTTGTCCAGGCTGTAAACCAACATTAATCCCTAATTAAATTGTATTTCTGCATGTAATCCTTTAAGCAAATTAAAAACTCATTCAAGTGTTGAACATCTTTTCTACCCCACATCATGCAATAAAAGACAATAGTGCAATTTGTCAGCAATCAATAATAATGCGGCGGCAGCAGCAGCTGTGTTTGAATTATTGCTCCTGTAAGACAAAGTAGTTTGTATGGTATCAGTGTTGGTATCCAGCTGTATTTGGAGTAGGTGGGAGAGAGTTTATGAGTCTGACAGCTCAGTGATTTAAGCTGTTTGGTGGCTGCAAAATTTAATAACATAAAAGACCATTTGTGAGATTGAATGCAAGCATACTTTGCTGGGGTAGATGATTGAGATGCAAAGGAAATGTGTATTTTATTCTGAATAATTTCAAATTTCCTTCTTGATATTTTCGTTTACGTTTGTTTACTGATGTGAACTGAACACTTGAGTTGAGAAATGAAGTTAGTCCTCTAAATTCATAACAGCAGCAGAATGCTGCATCAAAACAAACTTAGCTCCAGATAAAAATGTCTTCTTTTGGCTGCAGACTTGTCTCAGACTAATAACTAAATAATAAGGTTGGTGATCATTTCTGCTGGAGGAAAATCTGTTCACTCTCACAGCTCAGCTCTGTGCTGCACAGTACGCTTGCCAACTACAAATGTGTGACTCTCCACTGATTCAACAAACCAAACAATGTGTTTTGGACTCAGAGAGGCTTTGACAGGATGCAGGCCATATGCTGCAGTCTTTGGATATGGACTCCAAAGTATCTCAAAATAAAACCAGGGAAAACTAAGTTAAGTTTCAAAAATGAAGCCCTGGGACCACAACGGGCTGATACACCGGTAGAAAAGTGTGTAGGAGCACCATGGCAGAGCAAAAATAACAGATTGGTGGGTTGCGTATCTGTGACCAAAATAGCATGACAACTGCAGTTGCAAGATGGACCATCATTATTGCACCTATTTTTGATTCTATTGTTCTGACAGGTTTTTCATTTTGAGCACAAACCAGAGGTGGTTAGCCCCGTAAGGATGAGCTTAGTGACGCTGTTACCACCCAAATGACAGCCGGAGAGTAGAGAGGATATGGATGCATGAAAATTTGAGTACTGCCATCAACTCGTCTAAGAGCTGCTGTTAGACTAAGCACAGGTCCAGGCCAGATTTATCTAAAATAGGTATTCATATTGTAAAAATATATTCAATTTCCAACCCAAATAATGTCCCATCTTCTTCACAAGTTGTTCGCACAGAGCTAGGTCTAAAACTTTCTCAGGATAAGGATGGCAGAGGAGAAGGGCTTAATGTGCTTGCAGGTCTGCCAGTAAGGAGTTGCAGTAGTCAATGCATAATACAAGAGCCTGAACCAGGAGCTGTGTTGCATAATCTGACCAGTAAGGTCTGATCCTACTGATGTCCTACTGGGAAAATCACCATGAATTTTAAAGGTTAGCTGGTTAGCCGAGTTTTTTTCTATCAGCAAGACGTCATGAGAGCCGACTGAAATGATTGCATCATGCAGTGGGTACGACAAGAATAAGAGCTGGGTGTCAACTGCATAGCTTTGACATGAGAAAACATGAGTGTGAATAAGTACACCAAGTGAACTGTTGAGAAGAGGAAAGGACCAATCACCGACCCTTGAGGCACCCTTTCTGAAAAGCCATGTGGTTTCGACACTTCTCCCCTCCCTGATACTCTAAAAGATTTTCCTTTAGAACCATGAAGAGCAGATCCTGAGATAACAAGCTCAGAGAGTGTGGAGATGGTTCACGTTGTGAAAGGCAGCAGACTGATCCAGTAGATCTGTGGTCTGACCAGGACCTTGAACCAATTGCAGTTTTTCTTTTAAAGACACAAGTGCAGTTTCAGTAGAGTGGTCCCTCTTAAAGCCAGACTGATTGACTGATGTAAATCCAGCCTATAAGGAACATGGGACCCAACAATCAGCTGTTTGTTTGCAGGCAAGTATAAATCTCAGGCTCTGAAATCATTTAGCTTTTTTAAGAAAGACATTTTTATTGCTCCATATGAAGACCAGTCTATAAAAACCTGATCCTATTTTGAGACTAGGGACATTTTGTCCCTTTAACAACCATCATAGACTCCCAGGACTATAAAAACATGTAAAAATCTAAAAAAAGTTGTTCACTGAATTTAGATTGCTGCTCTAAGCCTGAATACCACATAAAAACACAGCAAGGAGAGCAGACATACATACTGTATGTACAGTCTGTGTGTTGTTGTCAATCTGTGTTGAATCTTTCCTCTCACAAAGAGTTTAGGGCACACCTGACATCGCTGACAAAGCATGTCAGCAACACGTCAGTTAAATGTGTCAGCCAGCTTGGTGACACAGCATGATGTCAGATACTCTCTAATTATCTTCCTCTCACACAGAGTGGCATTCTGTCACTGATATTGTAGTGTATCATGGAAAACTCTAGAGAAGGAGGGAAGAGATACAGCACATCACACCTCCTATTGTTTTCTCTGTATGTGCATCTTTTTTTATGTTTGCCCCCTGACTGCAGAGAACAGACTCCTACAGCAGAAACTGCAGCTTGAAAGCTTCAAAAATGATCCAAATTACACACTTATAAAAACCTTTTGATATTCAGATTTCAGGTCAGATTGCCATTTGGTATTTGCATGTACTATACTTCAATAACGAGGTCTGAAATGATCCCTTCAAAAATGTAACAATATCAAAGCAAAGTTAATGATGGAGAAAAACTAATGCTATTCTAATATGGCAAATTATAACATCTTAAAAGAGAACAGCATTACATAGCAAAGTGTAAATCACTAGGGTTACATAATGGAGCATAACACAACATGAGAAAACATAGCATAACCATAAATTATTTATTAACCATAAAAAGTGTAACACAAAATAGCCGAACATCAGTATGTGTAACAGAATAAAGCACAACACAGCAGTATCATACTGGAGTCAGTTGCTGATATGCAGAGGTACTGGCAGCTTTGCCAGCCAACAAAATCTCCCTACATGCACTGTAAAAAGCTCTCAACCTTCTCGTCCATCAGCTCATTGAAGGCATTTGTGTATTTCTCCCTGAAAAGAAGCTCCCAGGTACCTCACTCAACACAGCTGCAGCCCACAGCTGAGCATCTTGACTGTGTGCTACACCTTCAGCCAACTGGTTTGCACAGAAACATGCTTTAGGCTTTTGAACACCATCCTGACAGCTGAATGTTATAGGAGGTTACATACTGTTCAGCTCTACCCAATAAAAGTTTGAACAAAAAAGGCATGTTTGAGTAGGTTCTCTAAAAAATCTGTTACTCTATACTTCTTTATTCTTATGTAACCTGACATAACAAAGTATGTGGCATTATGTACCATAACAAAGTGTGGTATGACATAATGTAGCTTGACCTAAAGCAGCATCCCATAATAAGCCTGACCTAATGCAGTATGACATGATGCACTTTTCCATACTGCGGCATTATTGTAGCATATTAAAGCGTAATTTAGTGTAGCATAATGCATTGCGTTGTAACACATTGTAGCGTAATAAAAGTACTAAAAATAATTAACTTTATTCATGTAGCTTTTTTCAAGACAGGGTTACAAAGTGCTTTACGAATTAAAACAAAATAGAGAGAGAAGAGACACATAATGCATCGAAGCATAACTAATTTCAGTGTAACTTCTTGTAAGGTAATGTATAATAGTGTAACGCAAAGTAGTGTAACGTTTTTGAATAGCCTTTCATAGTGTCTAATATACTCAGCGTAACACAACATAGGATATAATGTAGCTCAGGATGACTTTGTGTAGTATTGTTACTTTTTTTATGTGGGACATGCTTATTAAAGTATTTGACACAAATTGTGCTCAAACTTTTTCATTATTTATCAAAGAGGCCCTTTTAATCTTTTTGATCCTGCAGGTTTTTTTTAAAGATGCAGCGATTCACTTTGTCATCA